TATTTGAAATGATTCAAGAATTTTAAAAGCCACATTTATTATGAAATTCAATATAAAGAAATCAGTGAAAAGATTTTTTTTTCTTTTGCTTTTTGATAACTTGTCTATGTATTCTTTGTTGTCAAAAAAAAAAAAAAAAGCTCAAATATTTGTTAATCTATTCTAAAATAATTTAATCCTCAGAAAGAAGTTCTAAAAATAAACAAATAAAGTGAGTAATTTTCTGTTTATTAATCCCAAACTTCTTACCCACAAAATAAAATAAAAAATGAAGTTCATATTTCATTTTAAAAATAGCCAAAACCCACAAACCTTACCAAACTCATACAGAGGCCGGAAGTCAATGCATTGTGTAGCGCAATCAAATGTGCTTTTAAAAGTGCCTTTACTGGAATCTGAACCCCATAGCTGGCTGTTTCTATATATATATATATATATAGTCACACAAATCTGAGCAGAGAGACTCACAGAGTAAACAACAACCCATTTCCAAGAATTGAAAAAGAAATCATGGGTGGCTTTTCTTTTCACCCATTTGTTATTGTATCAGCTCTTCTGATTCTCTTATCCTCTCATGGTGATGTGATGCTTTCTACTTCAAACATTACTATTAATAGTGTATTCCTCTTTTCTCACACAGTTTTCTTTGATTTGTAGGATTGGGGAGAAAGGTGATGATGGAAAGTTCTGAGCAGGAAGAAAATGTCTCTGTTGTCTTTGAGGTTGTTAACCATCAATTTTTCAAATTAATTGTTTTTAAATTTGGTACTATTTTTGTAGTTCGGTTGGTAAAATTTTAATGTTTGTTCTGTTTGGTTCTCAGGAAAGTGAAGGAAAATCAAGGGAGATGATTGAGATGGACTATGTTGAAGCTGGGCCAAACACTAATACAAAATCTGGATATCCATTTCCATTTAGCCCTTCACCCGAACCAGAAGGCTAATTAGGATGAATTTACATGCACCACCATGTTTGTTATTTTCTTTCTTTTTCCCATTCCTTTTTTTGTTTTTTGTTTTTTGTTTTTCAGGCTTTATTAAGTTGATGACAAAAAGGAGTGGTTGTAACCTTTATTTTATTTTTTATTTTTTTATTTTTTTTTCACAATTGTTATCTATTTTCTTTAATTGAGTTCACAATCAATATTGCAAATGTTTAAAACACAATATATACCTTATGCATAATTTAGTGATGTTGTATTATTATTATAATATTGTATTATTTGATCTGAGTTAGACTTATATAACTACATTACTTCAGTATGAACCTTGATTTATTTTTTAATCCAAAAATGTTCAAATTTCAATGCCTAATTGTAAAAAATCTAAATGATATTGTTCTTTTAAATACTCCTATATTAATATATTTTAATGCCGAAAGTACAGGGCATAAATCTCAATGCAGTTTCTACTTTTAATCTAATGACTGATTGACTGGCTAGCGTATCAACACAATAGACAATTACCTTTTTCCCATCAACTTGTGCCGTGGGTGTCATCAGAGTTCATAGCCAAACATATAAAATTATAAGCTAGAGCTAAACTTGGGAGCTAGTACTTATCTGCCGTAACTGGTAATTGTTCGGCTCGCGGAGAAGTGCTAATTCCGCTTTCCAGGTGAGTGGAAAGTAGGAGTGGATGTCGGGCGTGTTAAGAACTGCTGTCGTTCCAAAGTGAGTATCCGAACAACTATCCAGTAGGAAATTGCAGGGATCAGGCGATTAAATGAAGGACTGGAATTACCATCTTCAAGGGTTCTTTTTGCTTTGAAAAATGACTTTCGGACTGAACTATAGTTAGTGGAAAAGAAAGCGGTATTGAAAGTGCAAGACTTCAAAGTAAAGGAATTGAAGTGCAGGACTTGGAAAGTAAGAAAGATAAGTGCAGGACTTGAATTAAACATAATGAAATTGCATTACATGAATGTAAAGATATTGAAAGTGTTGTTTTGCTGTGTGATTTGAACAGGGTTTGCAAGTGAAGCCTAAGTGTTCTATTTATAGAATTCTCCATGCATGCAGTAACTTGGTGTGGAAGCTTCAACAGCTTCCACGTGGACTGACTTTGGACTGCCACGTGTCCCATGATCTTTCAGCCTTCTCTAAATGTTGCCAAGTGTAAACCCATGTTCTCCCATGATCTACAACTGCTATATAGTGGTCTTTGGCGGTTGAATGCATGATTGCAAACCTTTTCCCACGTTCTGGAATTGCCCAGATGGAAAGTCGACAATTCCAGCAGCAGTTGAGAACTTCCACATGGAAGGTCCGGATCTTGCCACGTGTCCCATGTCTTCCTTATTCTTCTCATAATGTTGACACGTATAAGAACATGATGTCCCATGAATTTCAGTTTTGAAGGAGTGATTTTGGTGGTTCAGTTCCAATTAAAATCTTCTAGCCACGTTCTGGAACTTCCAAATGGAATGGGCCACGATCTCCTAACTGCCCCTAATTTGTAGGTAAGCCTGCCACGTGTCCACTTGGAAAGTCATGTCTTTCCAACTGCATGTAACTGCCTCATTCTCTGCTTGCCACGTGTCCACTTGGAAATTCATATCTTTCCAATTGCATGTAATTGCTTACCTTTTTGGCTGACACGTGTCCCACGTTTTCCTCATTTTTCTCTAGCAAATGCATCATGTTCTCAGCCCACTTTGCTGATTTTGAGCAGCCTCCTCACTTAAATAAGGCAAATGGTTGCCTTATTCTTGGAGTGACTCCTACAAACTAGGAGATATTATAGGAGTGGGGAAGTTGTCATTCTTGATGACTAGGTCAAAGGTACACATGGCTTTCTATATGTTTGCCACGTGTCCACTTGGAAGGTCTACGTCTTTCCAACTGCATATCTTGTACCAAATGGCTTCATTTGATGAAGCCACGTGTTACTTCATGACTACGCTTTTGCATACCACCTTTCCAATTGGAATTTGCTACGACAATCTTTCCAACTGAAAAATATTTATGGTGTAATCATATGCCCCCCAAATTCCATGCCTTGTGGAACAATTTGATGATAAGGCATGGGATTTGAATTCCGCCATCATGAAGAAGAAGAAAAAGAAATTGAAGAGGAAGAACTGGAAGTACTGGACTATGTAATGTAGCATCTTCTCAATGAAATGCTCCATACTTAGGAAATCAGCTGATTTTGGAAATTCAGCTAAGTCTGCTTCATAACTTTAGCCAATATACTTTTCCAAGTACTTAGCTTTTCCTTCTTGGAATGGCCGAAGTATGGCTATTACGCTTCCTTTCCAGCTTTCCGGTTTACTTGGAAAAGAAGATACCAGCCATTCTACATGGCTGGTTGAACGATTGTGGATTTCTAATTTTCATAGATGGAAGGGTGATACTCTTTCAAGTATACCTCATTCACAGTATGCTTGTGAGATCCTCCATCAATCAAAATGTAATGTAGTGCCAAAAGTTGAACCCTCTTGTCCACATTGGTATTAAGCTCTTGCAAGAATTGGATAATTGGTGTTCTCCAATCTTCCAAGCCTAATCCATCTATATCAACATTGAAAATCTCCCATGTCTTCTTAGCAGGTTTGATTATTTCTGGCTCGTTAGATTGGAAATGGCGTGCCATCTCATGCCATGACTCTATAAAAGGAAGAGTCCTTCTTTTGATTGTGATCATGGTCTCTTCTACTCCCAGTAGGACTTTCACTCGAGAGGCTAATTGGGCTAGATCATCAACCTCCGTATTTAAATGTCTTGGCCAATATTTGAGTTGGAAATCATCAAACTGGCTAAGCAATTCCAAGGCCAATGAATGGAAAGGCCTTAAATGCCAGTTGCAAGTAAATTCACTTGGAAGGCTCCCAAAATAGATCTTCTTGCTGCTGCTGGAACTATTGGAAGTTTCCATGTTTGTTTCGTCTTTTATAGGAAGGACGTCTGCTAGCAAGGAGTTTCCAACTTCTAAATCAGGATCTAGCAAGTCATCAGGATCTCTAACTCCACGTTTAGCTAGAAGTTCTGATAAGTCAGATGGTTTGGCTATCTTCTTTGAACAGTTAGTCCAACCATGATCTTTCTCCCATAATTTTCTTCTGTCAGCCCTCTTCCTTTGCTGCCTTCGCCTTTGTGTGCGAGTCATATAGGAATCATCATGGATAAGGAACTTGGGATGATCAAGCCTCTTCTATCTATCATTTTGCAAAGTGGGTGGCTTAACCGTTCTTGGACGAATATGTTCACTACCCTTTTTGACCCATACTTCCGAGGCCAATTTTGGTCTGAAACCTTTGTCACCTTCAAAGGTTCTACTATGCCAATTGTTGCTTTCATAACTCCTGCTAGGACGAAGCCTTGTCTCATAAGAGACCTTATTTCTTTCCACACCCCTTGGAAGGAATTCTGGTTTCCTCGTTGTTGACCTTCTTTCTGTATGAGCATGACTTTCCTTCTTTGGAATGGTCACAGTGACTGAGCTTTCCACATTTTGGAGAGTTAGCCGGTCGTGGACCTTCCGTTTCTGTCCTTTGTCACTGTTGGAGGGCTTTTCATTCTGCTTCTCTTTTGGAAAGTCTTTATGGCAACCTTCATTCTGAACTTTACACTTAGGACAATAACCTTGTTGGATTAAAGCAATCTGGGCCTCTCGGAGTTGCCTCTCCAACTCAGCTTCTATCTTCTCCATAGATGTTGCCGCCTTTGGAATTTCCAACTTTCCACTGGTCACCGAATTTAACAAGTCCACCTCATTTTTGGAATGCTCTGGAACCATGGAAGCAACGTTTATTGCAACAACCTTGGGGAAAGGATTTCCATCAACACCCATGACTTCTGATTTTTCTGGAAGCTTCAAACGGCCATCTTCGATTGCCATTTGCACAATGTTGCGAAAAATAACACAATTATTAGTGGAATACTTCCACGAATTGTGGAACTTGCAATACTCCTTCTCTGATATTTCTGAAGCCGACAGCATCTTATGGCCTGCTGTAAAAATCAGTTGCTTGTCAGCCATGAGCAAATCAAAGATTTGCTAGGCTTTAGAAATGTCAAAAAAGTAACTTCTGGAAGAGTCTGCTCCCTTCCACTTGGAACCAGAGGCAGCTTGCAAGTTGGCCGTGGCTGATTTCGGCTTTGTCAATGCCTTACAAGTGTAAGCCTTCTTTATATTGAGCTCGGCTACGTTAACTTCAAACTCCCCTTCAATTTCAGTGGTATACACCTCATAGTTAAGATTACGATAGTAGGTTCCCTTGGAAGAGTTCTTCTTATCTTGCTCCTCACGAAGAAGCTCTTCATACTTAGCCACTTTGCCAGCCAAATCGAACAAGTCATGGAACTGTACACCTTTAAACTTCTTGCGAAGTTCAAATTCTAGGCCGTTCAAAGCCATCTTCACATATTCTTCCGGCGGCAAAGACAAATTACATTTGAACTTGGCCCGCCTAAATTTGGAAAGGAAGCTCATCACAGACTCTCCAGGTAGTTGATGAAGTCTAGAAAGGTCTGCCACGGACACTTCAAGCTCAGCTCTATAGAACTGAGTATGGAATAAATCCTCAAATTGCTGCCAACTTTGAATGGAGTTGGCTGGCAAGTTGGAATACCACCTGAAAGCATACCCAGTCAGTGTATTTGGAAACAAGCGTACCTTCAGCCATGGATTGGCTGCTGCTTCTCCACATTGGACAGTGAACCGACTGATATATTCCAAGGTAGACTGTTCTCCCTTTCCATTGAACGTTGCAAACTCTGGAATTCTGAAATTCCTTGGAAATTTAACTTCATCAATGAACTCTGGATAGGGCTTTCTGTAAGTTGGCCTTCCACCCTTTCGAGTTAGGCCAAATTATTGTTGAAGGAATTCTACAAATTGGCCTCTGTCAAGTGCCATAGGTAGTAGAGGGTTGTTGTCTGGCCAACCTTGAGGTTGATTGGTCACTTGATGCCTCCCACCCGCCATTAGCAAGGGGTTAATATCTGCATAGTTGTTCCTACCACGGTTCCTTCCTCCTTGGTCAAGAAGTGGCTCCCTTGGAAAAGGTTGCCCCCCAACCGCCATTGGAATGACCATAGGTGGTGGCCTTACTGGAGCAGGTGTGGCTGGCTGAACGTTCACAAGTGGTACATTCTGTTGTGCTTGAGGATTGTGGTATGGCCATGGTTGGCCAGGCTGATCATGCCAAGTTTGTTGTGGAAATGCCACAGGTGGAGGATTCTGAACTTGCTGAATGGTTGGCATGGGTGCTGCTTGTGGAACAGTCATCTGTGCCACTGGAACAGTCACAGGTGCAGCTAGAATATAAGTCTGTGCCATTGGAAGAGACTGCACCTGCTGCTGAGTTGGAAGGAGTGGCCCTGCATGTTGCTGAGAGGAACTCCCTTCAACAAATGTGGCCGGCCTACTAGCTTAGAAGGCCGACTGTTGAGACCCTTCAGAGTTGTTTGACTGAGGGGCCAAACCTTGGTTTAAGCTTCCAAGGGTCCGTTCCAAAATGGACTCGAACCTTCGAGAGATTTGGTTCACCATTTCTGCTAAATTTCGCTCATTAGCAAGAGCGGCTTTTGCATGGTCTTGACTAGTTTTGGATTGATCTTGCGCAACTCTGGCTAAGTCTTGGGCGACTCTAGCTTGGTCTTGCGCAAACCTATCTTGTTGCATTGCCATCATGCGGATGTTGTCCATGATGGGTCCATTTGCCATTGTTTGAGCAAATTTTTCTATCATATCATTTTCATCGGGTGCGAATCGTGAACTTTCCACTGGAAGTTCACTGACTTGCATCTCTTCTAGTTCGGCAGGGTCTTAGACAGACTTGCCTTGCCTTCTTCCACCGGCCATTGAGCAATCTGTTTAGAGGTCCCGCTGGGCGTGCCAAGAAATGTTCGGCTCGTGGAGAAGCGCTAGTTCCGTTTTCCAGGTGAATGGAAAGTAGGAGTTGATGTCGGGCGTGCCAGGAACTGCTGTCGTTCCAAAGTGAGTATCCGAACAACTATCCAGCAGGAAATTGCAGGGATCAGGCGATTGAATAAAAGACTGGAATTACCACCTTCAAGAGTTCTTTTTGCCTTGAAAAATGACTTTTGGACTGAACTATGGCTAGTGGAAAAGAAAGCGGTATTGAAAGTGCAGGACTTCAAAGTAAAGGAATTGAAGTGCAGGACTTGGAAAGTAAGAAAGATAAGTGCAGGACTTGAATTAAACATAATGAAATTGCATTACATGAATGTAAAGATACATGAATGTAAAGATATTGAAAGTGCTGTTTTGCTGTGTGATTTGAACAGAGTTTGCAAGTGAAGCCTAAGTGTTCTATTTATAGAATTCTCCATGCATGCAGTAACTTGGTGTGGAAGCTTCAACAGCTTCCACGTGGACTGACTTTGGACTGCCACGTGTTCCATGATCTTTCAGCCTTCTCTAAATGTTGCCAAGTGTAAACCCATGTTCTCCCATGATCTACAACTGTTATATAGTGGTCTTTGGCGGTTGAATGCATGATTGCAAACCTTCTCCCACGTTCTGGAATTGCCCAGATGGAAAGTTAACAGTTCCAGCAGAAGTTGAGAACTTCCACATGGAAGGTCCGGATCTTGCCACGTGTCCCATGTCTTCCTTATTCTTCTCATAATGTTGACACGTATAAGAACATGATGTCCCATGAATTTCAGTTTTAAAGGAGTGGTTTTGGTGGTTCAGTTCCAATTAAAATCTTCTAGCCACGTTCTGGAACTTCCAAATGGAATGGGCCACGATCTCCTAACTGCCCCTAATTTGTAGGTAAGCCTGCCACGTGTCCACTTGGAAAGTCATGTCTTTCCAACTGCATGTAACTGCCTCCTTCTCTGCTTGCCACGTGTCCACTTGGAAATTCATGTCTTTCCAATTGCATGTAATTGCTTACCTTTTTGGCTGACACGTGTCCCACGTTTTCCTCATTTTTCTCTGGCAAATGCATCATGTTCTCAGCCCACTTTGCTGATTTTTAGCAGCCTCCTCACTTAAATAAGGCAAATGGTTGCCTTATTCTTGGAGTGACTCCTACAAACTAGGAGATATTATAGGAGTGGGGAAGTTGTCATTCTTGATGACTAGGTCAAAGGTACACATGGCTTTTTATATGTTTGCCATGTGTCCACTTGGAAGGTCTACGTCTTTCCAACTGCATATCTTGTACCAAATGGCTTCATTTGATGAAGCCACGTGTTACTTCATGATTATGCTTTTGCATACCACCTTTCCAATTGGAATTTGCTACGACAATCTTTTCAACTGAAAAATATTTATGGTGTAATCAGTAATCACATAGGAAACACTATGATTAATGTAGTAATCACTGAAGGGAACCACATGATTTGTAGAGATTTAACAGGGGTTTTTTTTTTGGCTGGAAAGTTAAGCAATTTAATTAATAAGGGTTCTGTCAAGGTGTTTTTGATATTTTCAGTGTTATAATTGCAGAATTATGGACAATCGAAACATTGCTTTTCAAGAAGTATCATTTTTGTTTTTCTACACGCTCACATTACTCTTGAGAAAACAATAATTTTTGACATTTTATTTTGAAAGATAAAAAAGTCAGACTTTATTATAATCCTTGATTTTTCTAGAACAATCGAAGTAGTCATACAAAAGAAATTCAAAAGGTTAAAAAGGAACAAATGTCATTCAAAAGGTTAAAAAGAAAAAAGAATAGAGAAGTAAAAGCAATAAATTAAAAATACCAAAGAAACTTAAGTGCCCTCACACGGATGAGGTGCTCCTATAAGCAATGGAAAACGGTGGTTTCTATTACTTAAATGTTTTTTGATCACTTTCTTTTCAAATAAATAATGTTCTGCAACCCATTAAAGCAATCGACTCACACACGTTGGCTTCACTTGATGTAAGACATAATTTTGCACAATTTGATAAGCAGTTCAATAAGTTCGTTTTTGACAAATCAATAATATTTTTTAGGTGGAAATGATGCATTGAAAAAAATTCACCAACTGTAGTTTGTGAGCCATGTTGGTTTTCTAGTGAAAACATTCGTTTAGGATTCTGAAATCGCGTTTTATTATGTTATAGGAGGCATATTGATTATTTCTGCATTTTTGTTCGAGGCCTAAATAAAGTCTGATTGCTCTAAAATTTTAGATTTAGTATTTTTTATTCATTAGGTTTCTTATTCTATTTTTTTTCAAAATTTTATTTTTTGACTTATTTTTAGCGTTATTTTCCTTTGCTATTAAAATTTTTTTTTTTGACTTATTTTTAGCGTTATTTTCCATTGCTATTAGTTTTTTTTTTATGTTTTAGTTTTCTTCTAGTTTTCTATTATTATAAATACGTGTACTTATCATATATTTCTGAATTATTTTTTCGTTTTGTGGATTCAAAATACTCACATTGTGAATTCAAGATAATATATTTCTCATAAATAAATTTATTGCTTCTGCTTACGTCACCCACTGGTTTATTCCTTCAAATTTGATAATAGAAGTGTGATAGATATCATTTGTATGATATTCAGTATTCACCCACAGCTATTATGCTTAAATTAAAAGTTGGACCAGCTTTAAGGCCCTATTAATGTGCATCCTATGTGAGCCGTTTCTGTCCATGGACTCATCAGAGAAACTGAATCCTTGAATATATAATTGATCGAATATGTTGTAATATACGTCCATAAAGCATTTTGTTCTGTTTTTTAAAAATTGACCATGCAATATATTCTTCCTAGACTACTCATTTAACACCAAGTCTTTGAAGAAGATGAATAGGCATTTAGAAATAGATATTCAGTATTCACCCACATCTATTATGCTTAAATTAAAAGTTGGATCAGCTTTAAGGCCCTGTTAATGTGCATCCTATGTGAGCCGTTTCTGTCCATGGACTCATCAGAGAAACTGAATTATATATATATATATATATATATATATATATATATTTCTAAATGCCAATTCATCTTCTTCAAAGACTTGGTGTTAAATGAGTAGTCTAGGAAGAATATATTGCATGGTCAATTTTTAAAAAACAGAACAAAATGCTTTATGAACGTATATTACAACATATTCGATTAAAAATGCCCATAAATAGTTAGGATTATAAATCAATGCATTGGAATTATATTTGGGTACACTCAATAAGAGTAGCCAAATAAGTAGTGAATAGAAATTGAGAGCGAACATGGACACTCTCCTTCTAACCAAATACACTCTTTTAAAGTGAATTAACAAAAGATCAATTCAGAACTCATAAATAGGACATTATTGAATGGCTTACTTAATTGAACGTTTATCTTCTCAAGCATGTATGTCCGTGTTCGAATCCTCCTTTTCCTATTTTTTTTAAATATATATATATATATATATATATATATATATATATATATAACTCATAAATAAAAAAACCAAACATTAATGGGAATATTTATTATTTTTGTTAAATAAAAGAGTACATTTATCATCTCCCAAAAAATTTCACAAATAACTCTTCATTTCCACCCATACATATAGAACATATTATGAGTCCACTTTGCAGATGTATCAACAGCGCAAAAGGTCTCTTCATAGCTTTTCTTTGCAATGGAAAAATTAAAGACTCCAAGTGGATTATCTGTAAGTCAATAGTTTAGTGCAAAAGTGGCAAACAACATTTTTCCATGACTTGTTCATAGATCAATTACCAAGTTTAGTCAACCATGACATGCTACTTGATCTATAAACCAACTTAAGTCAACTACTTTCTCTTCCAATGCCTAGATCCCTGCACCAGAAAATTATATGAAAACGACGGACTTTGAACAATAAAATTTTATAGCGAAATATTATTAAAAATTAAATTGGGACAATTTTAAGATTTTAATAGAAATTATAAGTAATTTTGTAAAAAAATTCAGTGGGGCAGCTGCCACCACTGTTCGATTAATAGGTTTGTCCCTAACAGGGATCAGGGATGACAATTTGCCTCGCAGTGATGGATACCCATTCCACCCCACCCCGTTTATTGTTATTTTGGGGGACTGTTTAGTTTATTTGAGCGGGAATAATTTTTATTAATGAAAACTTGCGTGGGTTCGGGATGGGGGCAAGGAGAGGTTACTCCGATCCGCCCCGCCACGTCTAAGTAGATAAATTACTAAATTACTATTATTTTATTAGTATATATAGTTAGCACTAGAAAACCTTATGTCACATTTACTCACTTTTTCAGTCATTCTAGAGAGCGGCAGAACTAAGAACGCTCATTCTCTTGAATTTTTTATGTTAAATTATTGATTGCCTATTTTTTTATAAATTTTTTCAATAGTTATATAATTGTATTTGAGAAAAAAGAAATTAAAAAAATGATGAGAAATTCTAGAATTAAACGGGGCAGGGCGGGTGTCCGCGGAGGTAAAAAATTTAAATGGACGGAGATAGGGTGGAAAGGTGTCCTGTGAAATTTTTGGGCAAAGATGGGGTGAAAGTTTCTAAACTGTTGCAGGAGCACGGGAGGGTAAACCCACCCAAAATTGTTCCCGTTGCCATTCCTAGTCCTTAAGTAGAGCAAGTTCTTGAATATGCTTTCAATCAACATCTTTACAAATAAAGAAAGAATATATATATATATATATATATATATATATATATATATATATATATTGCAACTCTTTGATCTAATCAACATTTACATGAGTTGGTTGAACCACTTCCAAGTCCTGTGACGACACTGCTTCTCAACTACTGGCTTCCATTTTCATAAACCTTGTGATCTAAAGAGCAGTTTATATGTGAGATAACAACACTAAGATGATTCAAATCTTCTATATTGTTTTGCTGGGGCCTAGACTGACTTATTAATTTCTACAACCACTTTTTTTTTTTTTTTTTTTTTTTTTTTTCTTCACCAAACCTAGCTCTGTTTTGAGATTGATTTGTCTCGGTTATTGACCTCACACATGAATTGTGGAGTTGAAGATAAAAAGTCTTTTTTGGGTAGTGGTTGACTGTGACTTACTAGTGCTTTTGAGAAGTGGAAGCACGCACACTCAAGGACTTTTGGCAACACAAAACTAGTCTTGAGTTAGGTCGAAAACATGCCACGACCTTGTCATTCTTCTCTACATTTTCTTCTTTAAATGAGTGTTTTTTTCTGACTTCAAAAAGTAACAACAGGTCTATCAATATATGACAAATTTTATACATCCTCTAGAATCATGTGATTCCCTTAAAGTTCTATAATATTTAGGAGTACGGCACTTTCAAAAAATTTCGTGACTGATTTATTCATTATATGAATTTCTATCACTATATCCAACTATTAAGAGATCAGGAAATACAATACAATAGTTTAAAATTTTCAATGATGTTGATAAAAATAATATATAATTAAATATGTTAATTTTATTTAAACTTTTATTGTATATTATTTTTTATTAATCACGTGATCCCAAAACATGGTAATAATTTATAATCAAGAAATTTGTCAATTATATACCAAATGTTCAACACGCCATGGCTTCCTAATTTTTAAGTCAAAGGTTGTTCTTGAAAACATTACCTTGAAAGTGGTATCTAATCAAGAATCAAAATTGGTACAGTTTGGCAGGTTTGGTGTGTATGTCAGCTGATTTAACTGTTTTGGTGCAAATTTCTTTCATTACTTTCTCTAGTTTTTTTTTATTTTTTTTATTTATTTTTATTATTATTATTTACTTTTCTAGATTTTTTTGTTTAAAGAATCAAATTTCTTTCTTTCAATAAGAATATTTTCTCTCATTATTTTAAGTTAATAGGAAGAACTTTGCTTTTTAAAAAAATAAATTATTTCGTTTTCTAGAAAAATTATGTGAAAGGCGAATAGGCAAGATTCAGAGGGAAAAAGAAAATATTGACAATACAAATATCACCTTGATTAATTCTATGGTTTAATGAACTTGGTTTAAACTGCTTCATGCTATTTGACAATTGACATGCCCTTACCAAGGTAAAATCATTAAATTAGGTCTTTTCATATTGATTATATTAATACAGCTCTAATTTTTTTTTTTTTTTTTTTATTTAAAAATTACTCTATCTTCTTAACTTGCAATAAGTTCAAAAAATTATAAATACACTATCTATGATTTTTTAATTAACTTAATAGATTGTGATTTTGCTGGAAATAAATTATGCATTACATACACAATTTTGAATCATTACTGTTACGTAAGAAAATATAAAAACTAGAAGAAATTCAGAAGTGTGGAATTGTTGAGAGAGAACAAAAAAATGAAGTCTTTATAAGATAGGACGCTATGTTTGGTGTGAGTGAATGGAATCAAATAAAAGTGAAATGAAATGCATTTATTTCCATTCTCTTGTTTGGTGTGTCACATTAAAAGTGGAATGATCATTCCATCAAAAAGGTAGAATGGTCATTCCATCAAAAAGGTGGAATGTACATTCCTCTTCTTGAGAGGTAGAATGACACCAAGAATTAATAAAGTAATTTAAAGAGATAATTCACGCATACACACATTATATATATATATATATATATATATATATATATATATATATATATGTATCTGTATGCCGTTTGTTCCCTCTATCCGAATTACACACACAAGGTTGAGACAAAAATAGTGTGATTGAACTTCTATGAGCTTTTGTGCTTTCTCGGTCATTAGCTAGTCATCTATTTCTTTTTTCGCGTCAGAAAAGATGATCGGAAAATTATTTATTTCCCTTTTATTTTTACAGTCGTCGGAGAGCCATCTATTTTTTTTATCTCGTCCATTTTCTCTCTCTATCTCGTCTATTCTCTCTCTCTCTCTCTCTCTTATCTATTTCCCTTTTATTTTTGCAGTCGGAGAGCCCTATGTTTCTCTCTATCTCGTCTATTTTTTCTCTCTATTATCACTTTCCCTTTTATTTTTGCAGATTAATTTTTTTAGTTAATTTTTTTTTACGTAATTTAAAAAAACAATATAAATTCATTCTATTCCAACTTTTTTTACCAAACATAGGAATGTGAATGAGATTCCATTTTTACACATTCCGTATTTGCAACCAAACGGTAGAATGAGAATCATTATTCCCACCTCCATTCTCATTCTCACCTCCATTCTCATTCCATTCTAATTCATTCCAGCATCAAACATGCCCTAAAAGAAATTTGTACCATGGATAGAATAATAGTTATATTTATTTAGTAATTAATACAATACACCAAACATAAATAATTTAATAATATATATAAATTTGTAAGACACACATCCACGTACCTTTACGAGGCGTAAATTTTTAACCTTCTACACACGAATATAAGAAAGTATCGCTGATAGGGCCGGAGGCAACTAATGCACCTAGGGGGCAGCTGCCCCCGCTGCCCCCTAACCTTTTTTCTTTTAATTTCATAGTATATGTATTAACTAATATGGTAAGAATACGGTGTCTCTTCCATTGACTTTTTTCTTCTTTTAATTTCATATATGTATTAACTAATATAATATGGATATAGTGCCTCTCCCATTGGACTTGGTGGCTTATAGTATAAAGTGTCATGTCCTATTCCCATGTTCGTAGAAGTAAGAAGATAAGGATAGGGATGGGGTTAGGATGGGGGTAGTAGGGTGGTCTAACTAATATTTCAATTTTTTTTTTTTTTTTTTTTTTAATAAAAAGTGATCTAACTAACTAATTTGCTATTAAGGGTTAAAACCCAACCAACACAAGAAACCATAATAAGGAAAAAATAACTAAAACATATTTTAAAAAGTGTGGACAATGATTAGAGAATCGAGTCTTATAATAATGACAATAGCCAAGATAAATATAAATGAAAGAAGAAAAAGTTTTTTTTTTAAAAAAAGGAAGAAGTGAGCGAAGCGGGCATGATTTGGCCCAGTCCTTTATGGCCCTTTTCCAATCCCTACCCCACCAAATCACTTAAAGCTGAATCCAGTGGGCCCATTCTAGACTTTTTCTAGTCCGGCCCACAAAACTCCCAAATGCAACTACCCAAGAAAAATTTACTTGGAACTTCATAAGAATAATTTAATGGACAAAAAAAAATACTCACCGATCATTCTGGAAGTCGAAAATTCTAATTTTATTTTAACATTCTCAGCTTAATTTTAAGATAATTGTTTAGTAGATATTAAATGAAAGATGGTAGTATTTGATGATAAATTATATTATAAATACAAATAAAATTAAATAAAAATACACACTATTGTACTTGGCGCGTATGACGCTCTAATAGAGGAACCATTTAGAAGAAATAGCTTATAATGAAGATTGTGATAAAAGCTGTGTAATGAATGACTAAACACTCTTCCTTGTCCTCTATGTGCTTTCAAACCTCCCAAGGCCGGCCAAAGGCCAAACTCTCTCTCTCTATCTCTAACCCTTCTCTCTCTACCCAATTCTGCTCTTTTTGGCTTCAATATTTCATCTTGGTTCAATAAACAACCAGAGATGAAATCGGTTTTTCCATGAAGAGAATCAGAGACATCTGGAGCGCACCGACAAATCCCGATCTTCAGGTGCACTCGAACACTCTCTCTTTCCGGTTTTTCAAAGGTGTGTCGATCTGAATTTGAGTATATATTCGTGGGTTTGATTTGTAATTTGGGTTAGATTGGTTGGTTTTCAATCTCAATTTCGATATCGTTTTCAATTTCTGGGTTCAATCCAAATGGTCTGTTTCCATAACTCAATTTCGGTTGACCAACACATGGACATGTCTAAATCTGTGAACTCAACCGATTCTGGCTTGAAACTGAGACAGATTCATCATGTACAGAAGAACAAAAAGTCACCCAATTCGCCCAATCACCTCAATATTCCCGCCTGCGAACGATCTCGATCGGCCGTTGTCGATGTGGTAATCTTGATTGCTGTGATTGGTGCTTGTGGGTTTTTACTGTTTCCCTATATAATGCTTGTATTCTATAAGACTGCTGAAATTGTTGGAGAAATCGTTTATGTGGTGCAAGATGAGATTTTGCGAGCTCCAATGATTTTTGGGTGTTTAGGACTTAGCATTTTGTTTGCAGTGATAGCTGTCTTGGCAATTACTGTGTGTACGAGTCGGAAATGTGGAAAACCGGGCTGTCCTGGATTAAGGAAAGCCGCGGAATTCGATATCCAGCTTGAGACACAGGAGTGTGTGAAGAGCTCCAATAATTTGCCTAAAGATGGTGTGAAGAAGGGTTTGTTCGAATTGCCTCGGGATCACCATAGAGAATTGGAAGCTGAGCTGAAGAAGATGGCGCCCCCTAATGGAAGAGCTGTTCTTGTGTTTCGGGCAAGGTGTGGATGTTCTGTTGGAAAGATGGAAGTTCCAGGTCCAAAGAAGTCTCGAAAGGTTAAGAAGTAGTGTTATATGGTTGCTAAATTAATAGGAAAGAATATCCAATACACTGAGTACTTATAATGTGGAGAAGTTTCTTTTCTGTTCAATCTTCTCTGAACTATAATGTCTTTAAATAATCTCACATCAATAAGTTATAAGGATTATATATTTATATATGGTTCACTATAGTGGGAATATAAGAATCCTTTATTTCATAACTACAGTTCTCTCTGACTCTGTTTGTTTGAATTGCTGATTTGATAATTGAGATCGTTTTTCTTATTATTTATGGTTGTAGTTTCTAAGTTTTGAAAATTTTAACCTCTATATAAGCACAATTCGTTAAGTTCGAGCATATTAAAATCTTATAGTTGTGAATCTCTAAAATGTTCCATTTTAAAGGTATGTTCTATTTTGTTCTCTTACTTTATTCTTGAACTTTTTGAATGGTTGTATTCGATACTGAAATATGCACTTAATTATATGCATAATCATTGAACTTATCTTGATTAACGAAAAGTGAAACTTTGTAGCCCAGCCCTTTGATAATAGATTTAGTTATTCTGCTTTTGTTTTCTTTTTAAAGGTTTTTGGGGGTGATGAATGTTTCGTATGTCCCTTTCTTGGCTTGTATCATACTTTTGTTTAATCATGGAGCTTTAGGATGCTGTGGAATCATCATGTGGTAATACGTTTGAGGTCAAGTCAGTGAAATGCTACACTTTGCACTTATCTAATCGTACACCTTCTGAACTATTGCTATGTAAACTTTATACTTAAAAATTATGTTGTAATTGTCATAATTGTCTGCCAATGGTGGTTTAAGAAGCCAGCTACTGTTTAACTTCGCCTATGATAAGATGCAATGCTCTAGGTCACCGTTTCAGTACCGGTCACTTATGCAATACACGTCTTGAACTTGAACTCTTCTCATTTTCAATGCATTTTCCTACTGTTATGCTAGATATAGATAATTAGAATTACTCCACAATAATTATGAGAATACATTTCTGTGAGTATATTGCTCTTATAGCATAACCTTTGGTCTCGGGTGAGAAGTAGGTAGCAGAGCGAGGGAGGGTTGTTTCAAACTTTAGTGACTATCATCTGTGATCTTTAGGATATAATCCACTCCATGCAGGAATACCGAGAATCTGGTTATAGATGACTGTTGTTTCTTTATACTAGTTTGAAATTGATTATATGCTGTCTGTGATGGATCTATTGCCTTTTCGTCGAAATACTCTGTTTATGCCGTATTTACATAAGTTAGGTTGAAATCTGCTCATCCAGTCCTGTGTTATGGATGCTTTGAAAATGTTTTTTTTTATTCCAATGATGGGAAAACAAGGTTCTTAAGAACAGTTGCTTCATCCATTTCCTTTAAGTAACAAGTTCGAAAATTATATAATTGAGTCTGGTATTCTCAGCTCTAAATTATGTGTTGCCACAATTTGAAGTGCTCGGTTTGAGCTTCTTCCTTTGTCATCGGAGTTGAATGAAGCGTTATGGGTATTATTATTATTATTGTTGTTGTTGTTGTTGTTGTTGTTGTTGTGCCAAATGAATTCTGGATAATTTCGTTGTTGTTGTTGTTATTGTTGTTGCCAAATGAATTCTGGATAATTTCGTTTATCCCAAGTTATTACTATTAGTATTATTATTATTGTAATTTTGTTTTTGTTGCTGCAGCTGTTGTAAACTATTGTTATCGAGAAGAGTCCATTTCCTTACTTCTATATCTTAATTTTTAGGAACTATATGATGGCACCATTACAGGGGTTCCATTTTTTGCCTGAAGGGATATCAAAACGAAGATGGAATAACTCCAGTTCCTTGAGCACCAAAATATACCTTGGGATTTGAGAATGGCGGGGTCACACTTGTGGCACGATCACATGTGGGTGATCTATCGATCTTAGTCGTCCACTGCAATACAACACCCAAAAGATATGGACTCAAAGGATCATATGCATAGCTTACCGTATATGAAAGTTACTAGAAGTTCCCAAACTTGTAGAATTCTTTTCTTGCATTTAAGTGAGAGCTCTCTCTCTCTCTCCCCTCTTCTGTCTTCTGGGGCATCCCAATGTAGGGCTAAAATACATACCATTTGGGCAATCCTATGTACCCTCTGAGCTTGAATTCTTAGTGGTTGTCTTTGAAGCCCATTCATACCATTTAATCGGTGGATGTGTGTAAGAAGAGAAAGGGACGTGTGAACTCACATGTACTCGTTGGAGCCCAGAATGATTTCTAAGCAGCACCAAACAATGGAATGCATATAGCCCAGTAGAAGTTGATGCATCAAGTGGACCCCAATCACTGGACCTCTCCATTTTCTTTAGTGTTTTGTTAGGTGTACCTTGTCCGATTAGACAGGGATGCTTCATAAGCCGATTGGGGTAGCCGAGGTGGGGTCCGCAAGACTTTGTGTCCATGTATCGACTGGACATTTGGCCTTTTCTGATGACTAGCTGTACGCGATTAGAACGTGTGTGGTCTTTTGTAAAGAGATGGTCGGTCATACATAATTGTTGTCACAATAAATCAACAATAAATCCAACTCATGAATGTATCCCAAGTCTAGAATGTTATGTTGCATTTGTAAATAAAAAAAAAAAAAAAATGTATATATCTATATATCTCTATATATATATATATATCAATTGTAAATGTTGAGTTACACATTTTAGAGTGACGTGTTAAAGAAGTTTAATTTGATGTGCTATGACAATGATGAATATCAAATCTGTGACATTTTGAGGGATAAAGAATGTGACATTAATTGATTCAGTCACATTATCAATTTTTTTTTTTAATAATAATAATAATCACATCATCATTTTGTTTACCTCCACCATTTACAAATTCAAATTGAAATTGATGACTTATAAATTGAAATTGATGACATGACTAAGAATGGACAACATTGATTGAATTCTGCAAAATTCAAGTTGAGAGATTTGGCAGAGAGCTATGATGAAATAAAAAATGATAATTTCTCTAAATTAAAACTTAAACAGCTCTTTTTTTCTTCTTCTGCTTTTTTTCTTTTCTTTTTTTCTTTTTTCGTACAAGCCATAAAGTAACCTATGAACTATCAGAATTTTGACTAAAAAAAGAATAAATAAATTACTAACAATGATTGTCAATATCCAAATCCTGAGTTGATGATCCATCATCACCGTTGTCGGACCCATTAGCAGGACCCGTACCAGAAGTTCTCCCATCACCGCCACCGACAAACAACCCAATCCTAATTTCACCGTCAACCCCCCTCCTCCTCCGCCTCCCTTCGTCGTCCCCATCACCTCCCTTCCCGCTGTCATCTTCCTCCTCCTCCACAGGCATCTTGTACCTGCAAACCGGGCACGACCCGTGTATCCCCAACCACTTCTCGATACAACCCGAATGATACCTGTGCTTGCAAGGCATCTCCTTCGCCTCTCCGCCGACTTCATACTCCGCCAAACATATCGCGCACTGTGAACCTCCCTCTCCCTCCGTGATATTCACCGCCGGCATCGCCTCTATCGACGCCTTCGACGCCGGCAAAGGCCCGTCTTTGTTCGAGAGTCGTCGGAAAAATGATTCCAGATGTCCTGAACCCTCAATCACGATCATCGACTCCGATGCCGGATCATTAATCACGATCATCCGCCGGATTTCGCTTGATTCTGTGTCATCATCCTGAGACGGAGCTGATAAAGTGAACATTAGAATTAAGGGGGCGTACTCTGAGAGTTCTGGGTATCGCGCTCTGACGGTCTCTTCCAGAGAAGACAATGATTCGGAAAACATCTCTGGTTCGGGCGACGACATCGCTGATTTGATGGATTTCGAGAGAGAGAGAGAGAGGGGTAGGTCGAAGATGGATAATAAATTATGTGATAGATGTATAGAGAGAGAGACATGAAAAGAAAGGGAGAGTAGATATAGGGAGGAAAGAGGACGGTGAGAAATGTGTGGAATGATCTAGAAAATTCCTGTAATCCAATTGAGCGAAACAGGAGTTATTTTTAGATTATACTGTTCGATAACGGTCCATGATGTTCCATTATTTTATTGTTAATTTTATAATAACCTGGTCAGAAAATAACCAAATTGCAACAAAATTTAATATTCAATTGAAATACTTCTAATAATTACTTCAATTACTTTAGGATATAAGATTTTTTTATTTTTATTATTATTATTTTTTTGTGTGTGTGTAACGAGTTTAACAATTGATGAATAATACCATCATAGTTTAACAATTGAAGAATAACACCATCATAGTTTAATAATTGTAAAAATTCATGGGTTTGTAAATTAAAAGATATTTATACAGTGGAACATATGTTCAAGTGGTTATATGACATTTTTAACTCCAATGGTTTCCTTTCTTCTCTTGAATAATATGGTTTTCGTCACTGATGTTTATAAGAATAGTCCCCATTCTAAACACCCAATTTTTTTTTTTTTCCTTAAATAGTGCTAGTAACTAGTAAGTGGCCACATGCTGCATCGGATCCGGGAGGTAAGTCATTGAAGTCTCGCTTTCGAACGGCACTCATGACTTAAATGGTGCGTGTTCTAAGAAAAAAAAAAAAAAAAAAAACTTGATATGTGAAAAAGTTATGGTTGGCTCAATTTCTCACTTTAAAAATAAATTTTAAAATTTTAAAAATTCAAAAATTTAAAAGTTATTTTTAGAGAAAAAAATACTTTACAAAAATCTTTTTCTTAACCGAGTTTTTGAAAAGTAATTTTCTGAAACAGTCAACTATATCAAGTTTTTGTAAAATTTTAACTAAAAATTATTTGGAAAAACAAGATACTTATCTAGTGGAACATACGTCAAAGTGGTTAGATGACCTTTTAACTCCAATGGTATCCTTTCTTCTCTTGCATAATATGGTTTTTGTTTGGTGAAAACAAGACTCTCCAAGCTCACTGATGTTTATAAGAATAGTCCGAATTCTAAACACCCAATTTTGTTTTTTTTTTTTCCTTCTGCTTTGACTTTATATATATATTTTTATTATTATTATTTTTTTCTTAACAGTGCTAGTAACTAATAAGTGGCCACATGTTGCATCAGATCCAGAAGATAAGTCATTGAGGTCTCGCTTTCGAACGGCATTTCTGACTTGAATGGTGCGTGTTGAGAGAGAGAGAGAAAAAAAAAAAAAAAAAAAACTAGTAAGCCGCCATGTATATGTGAAAAAGTTATGGTTGGCTCAATTTCTCACTTTAAAAATTCAAAAATTAAAAAGTTATTTTTACAGAAAAATTCTTTAAAAAAATCTTTTTCTTAACCGAGTTTTTGAAAAGTAATTTTATGAAACATTCAACTATATCAAGTTTTTGTAAAATTTTAACTAAAAATTGTTCGGAAAAACTAAAGCAAGTAGGCCATAAAAACTCATTTTTCTTATCAATAAAATTGAAATTTGTTGTTGTATTACATGCTAAAATTTTGAGATTCGATACAAATAAATGTAAGAATATGATCTTCATCCCAAAAAAAGAAAACAAAAAGACACAACTGCCCCTGCTTAACTCTACTTATTGTACGGAAAAAAATGGGACCATTTATGTAGCATTACTCTTCTTTATTAAGTTACGATTGAGAGATAAAATTGATGTCTTGAAAATAAAATTTAAATTTTAACTAATTAATTTTCCAAATCGGATTTTAACTTCAAATTTTCGATTCAGCACTCAAAAGTAATGTGCCAGAGTCCTATCTTGCTTTTAAAATATCAATGGGTTAATAATCGAGCTCACTAGACCCGATTCATTTTTAAGATATCAATGACCCGGTTCATAATCGAGCTCACTAGACCCGGTTCATTTAGATGTCGTGGATTTATATGAATAGCACAGCTGTGTCCTTTGCTGAGAGAGTTCCCAACAGTAACAGCGCATCTTTCTCCTCAAAAAAGTATAATAATAAATCTTGAAAAAATTTGCTTAAAATTCACTCTATGCGTTTCACTTTGAGACGAGAGAGAGTCCGTGCTGAGCTCCGTCTAGGGTTTTTCTCACCCCCAAAATCAATCTGTCACCTCTCTTCTCATAATCCATAGCTCGCAAGAGCTCCGATTACACTTAAATCGATGGACTCCTCCGGTTCGAATCGGTTCGACATCTTTGAGATGTACAGGCGATACTGTGGTAACTTATTGATTCCTTCTTTCTGTTTCTTTAATTCATCAAGTGATTGATTGTTTCCTCGTTTTTCTTAATTAATGGCACAGTGACAATCGTCACAAGTATTGATTTTTTTTTTTTTTGAGATTTCAATTGAAGTTGCGACTTATGAGCTTGATTATGTTATATTATGTGTTTGTTCGATTTCAGTGAATAATAGCTATTGAAGTTATTTAACTTAAAATCGTGATGGGTTTTGATTATTTTTAGGTTTCAATTGAAGATGTGGCTTATGAGCTTGTATTATGTATGATTTTTATTTATTTTTATTTATTTTTTTATGTCTTTGAGTAATAGCTATTGAAATTCTTTAACTGAAATTTATTAACTTAATCGGTCTTGCCCTGTTATTTGTATAGATTTTGTTACAGATTCACAATACTTTTTAGGCCTTTCGTCGAATTCATTTATCAGATGATATATGGTGGTTAAGGTTGATCATGATATCATTATTTACACATATGCTATGTTTTGCGGCACAGAATTGGTTCCTTGGATTTGGGATTGAAGAAAATTTAGTACAAATTTTTAACTAAACTTCCTTCAATCCCAAATCCAAGGCACCGATTTAGTGCTCCCTAACGTAACAATACAGTTCTTGATATTCATTGCTTTTACATTGCATAGCCAAAGAGAAAATTTAATTGCATGATAAATATGCAATCTATTCTGTCTCTCTAGCTGTCTCATTTGAATAATCTATTATTCAACATTTTATTTTTTATTTTATTTTATTGATATTAGAGAGAAAAGTAAGATTTAAATTTTGGGTTAATTTGGGTTGATTAAATAGATGGGACTGATCGAGAGTGGCACGTTCGTGCAACAAAGACTAGTGAGTTTGACAATAAGGATGATACATTGGATGTAAGTTGAATATACTACAAAAGAGTCAATAAAAGAAAAGGTGGTCAAGAAGAACGGTGATCTGACTATTGAGAAAAGCCTTGATGCCTTGTGCTTTAAAAGGGATAAAATTTGGTCGGTGCATATTTCTTTTTTTTAATCCTTGTATAGGACAAGGCCAACTATCTCTTCAGGGTTCTTCACTTGATGCAATGGTAAAAGATTGAGCTATCAAGGGGTTGAGATTGAGGTATGTTATTTGTACAAGGCTAAAGTTATAGGGGTGCACCTTGAGCGGGTTAACTTGAACTCAGTTTAATTTTTCATATGCTTGAGCATCCACTTTTAAAACTCTAAGTTAAGCTTCAGTTGTAAAAAATAAATTCGAATTTGATCTGGAGTGAGATTGGATTGAGGTGTCTAGCAATCCGAACCCAACTTGAATTCACCAAATCTCAACCTTAATTTCAACTTGAGTCACTTGACCATATAACACACACACACATATAACTACACAATACCGGAGGGTGCTTGGTTTCACAACCGAACTGGCGATACTCTAGGCGACGTGGCCCTGGTCGGTTCGGTCCGATCCAGCAAAGGTTGGCTCCCAACAACTGTAGGGTCAATTAAAAAAATGTGTAAACTGCTCCATAGATTCGGACCAAGGCTCCTTGCCTCCCATATCAACACTCTTTCCATTGAAGCTCACGTTTGTGCTTGTTATAATAACATTATATTTATTTTGTACATGATTTTTAAACTTTATTACATTTAATTACCAATATACATCCATGGTCTTACTGTCACACGTGTTTCTCTCTCTCACCATGTCACTAAGTTCCAGATCGATAGTAATTTATTTTTAGTTTTCAAATTTATCTTTTTTTCATATTAAAAAAAAAAAAATTCACTCATAAATGAGGACTTATGTCATGTATGTAATGATTCATAATTTTATTCAATTTTTTGCCTCACATTTTTTCTTTTTTAAAATTTTAAATTTCCATATTCTTTTTTATTTTTTATTTTTATGAATTTTACTTGAAAATAGAATGTTATATATGCTATAATTCATATTTTTTTTGGCTAATTTTGACTTGTATTACTCTTATTCTATTATGTTTTTTTAAAAAAATTATTTTCTTTAATTCTCACATGCTATACTTATATATGGTATGAATTTTCATTTGTTTCATTCTTAAATTCATTATTCATTAATGTTTAAATTCATTATTTATTAATTCAGTAAAATATATAATTACTAAGCTTTTTTAATAACGACGACGACTTAAAATTCATAAATATATCATTACTTATATTAAATGATCTTTTAAAAAATCACTAAAGTTCACTAAAAATTCATTTTTACTGAATTGTGTTGTAAAGGTTTACATATTGGCTCATTTTAGGTCCTATGTGTGAGGTTGAAAAAAATCCTCGACTGCACATAACGCCGGTACAGGCCTGATTCCCTTACACCAGAACCACAAATCCGAACCATGAATTTTAGTTTCTAAACTTTTAATTAACTGTTTTTTTTTTTTTTTTTTTTTTTTTTTTGTTTCAATATATATTTTTTAAATGATGGAGACATATATATATATATATATATATATATATATATATATATATATTTATGAATATTGGACTATTAATCCAAACCCATGTTGAGTTAACTGAAAACTCACCTGAATTCCAATCGGATTTCCCTAGCCTAATTGTAAACTAAGTTCAAAGAGTTTGAGTGCAGGTTCAGATTTGCTTGTAGTTTCATATCCTGGGTTGAGCTTGATCTAATCCCTCAATTCACCAACCTGCAAAAGTTCCCCCCCTAAAAGGTCATGCCTGTATCCAGTTTACAGTCCTAGCACCCGACAGTGGTCTCACCAGTATTGACTAATGGCCTTTTTTAGCAGTTCCCTCCTTTACATGCAAAGTTCTTTTGGAGGTTTTTCAATTATTTTTATGCCTATAGCAATCTGGATTTGTTATTCAATATGCTGCTTTATGCAGACTATATGCACTAAATACTATATAAATTTGATAATATAGCATGTGGCTAAAGAATATTATAAAAAAATGTTCCTGAGGTAGTAGTTCCTTTAAATGCTGCATTCACATGGTTTTAGGCATTGTGCCAAATACTATTAAGCATGTGTAAGAGGCTGCAGTAATTGATTTGATTTGTGAACTTTCTCGTGCAGACATCACATCAAGGCCATACGCTACTGGGGGTGAGGGCTATGGAGCAGATGTTGAATCACTAAAAGCTAATCTTTCAAGGGAAGCTTTAGCTCACCTCTTAAAATTGGTGGAATCAAGGGTACATACAAGGTCTGTTTGTGCAACATCATGAAAAACATGGAGGTTGATCATGCTCTAAGTTAAGAGTGGAACAATTTGTTTGTTATCGAATTACATAAGATGATGCTACCTCATTGAACCTACCTAGAAATAGGCTTCGTGCTGCTGACATGGGTTCAATTAGGATAGGATTTAAGATGATTGTTTGAAGTGGTCTGGGTGGGCTTGTAGTGCTTTTAAACCTTTTCTGGAGGCATAGCAGTGATTTATGGACATTAAGATTGATGAGGTGATTCTTTTTGCGTGGAGGAGGGAAGAGGAGATTCTTTATTTATTTATTTTTTTAATGAAAATATAAAATGAAACTCGGTGTGTGGAAATTTGTTCTCAAAGGTTAGTTTCTTTTGCTATAGTTGTATTGGTGTAGTCCATGTAGAGCGGCAAATGGACTGATTTTGTGGCTCATTCGTGTTTTTAATCATTTACATCAAATAAAAAGCAATCCCCCTTTTATATAATAATGACTATTTATTCAAGTTCTTAAATGGTTAAAAATAGTTTAAAGAAATATAACAAGGGAATATTATTTAATTTGTGCTGGATTTTATTTTATTTAGGCAAAAAAGATAGAATTTTAGTACTGCTTTGTGGTTTCCTTCTGATTTCCTGGAAGAAAAGAAGTTTTATGTCTAGTTTGATGGAAGTGTTTCAACAATTAATACATAGATTAAAAAAATGCTCATGTAGAAATATGGCTACTGAAAATTCTGTGCATCAACTTGTTTTGGTGTTTAAGTGCCCATTTGAAGGCTAAAAGTAAAAGGTGTTTAGTTATGAAGTAAGGATGGTTTTGTGGCTGTGAACAAGAAAAGAATATAGTACTTGAAGAGAAGAAGAAGAAACAAGTCCCACTTAGGTTCCCTATGATTCACTCCTTAAGGTAATTTTTATTTATTTATTATTTTATTATTATTATTATTTTCCGGTTATGGCCCACTAAGGTAATTTTCAGGTCATAAATACTCAAAACTCAATATTCATCTAAAAATTATTACATTGATAAATACATTTATAGGGTGTGGAATTTTTCTTATATTCATTACTAGGATTATGATACTAAGATTAATCGATGAAAATAATTATGAGTTCAACTAGAAAAGCTGGAAAGGAACAATTTTAGTTGGGTTAAACTAAATGTCACCATCAAGCCTAGTGTAACGGGTGGGCGCTTGCCCATTTACCCAAAAGCTCGAACTATTGGGTAGTGCTGCATACCCACCCATTTATACCCAATCACTTTCCCATCCGATTCCGATGTGGGACAAATGACCCTTGTTACAATCTCCCCCACCCAAACTCGCAACGCCCTCGTTGCGGTTCGGGCCACCCTGCCTACCCGGGATGCTAGCCCGGACGCCTTCCGGGCCGGGCGCTTGGCGTGACACCAGATCAAGGACTGGGTCTGGCTCTGATACCAACTGTAACGGGTGGGCGCTTGCCCATTTACCCAAAAGTTCGAACTATTGGGTAATGCTGCATACCCACCCATTTATACCCAATCACTTTCCCATCCGATTCCGATGTGGGACAAATGACCCTTGTTACACCTAGCTAGCTCTCATTCAGGACTCGATGATGAATCTGATCCTAAATTTGAGCTTTTAAAGAGTTCAATGCTTCAATGTAATTCGTCCGATTGATTGTGTTGCCTTCTAGTCTGGACCTTCTTGAGTTGCACGTGCTCCAACTCAAAGTTGTACCTGTCATATGCACACAGACATGTTGCTGCTTTGTTGTGCTAAAATGATTTCTCTTTAAGTTGTCCTTTTTTAAACATGTTTCAGTACTGCCTTCCATTTGTGTTTGTGGAGTTGCCCTCTGTCTTGACCTCCTTGATTTGTGCATGTTCTCCAGCCCTCCAAGTCAAAGTTGTATCTGTCATATTTACACACACATGTTGCAGCTTTGGTGCCCTAAATGCTGCATGTTTAAATTCTCCATGCAGCATGTCTCTGTTCTGCAGTTATATTTGTGTAGCTACATCTGAATATTTTTCTAGTATTAAGCCGGTAATTGATTACATTTTTAGCTATTCTGAAGTTAATGAGAAGTGTGTTGTTTCCCTTGACAGAATGTCCATCTTTGATGAAGTTTTCAAGCTCATGTCAAGTCTAGACTTGATGGTGAGTTATTGTTTCTTGATTTCCCCCTTTTTAATTAATGGGTTTTCTATTTGTGCTTAAGGATTTTTACGTTTCAGTAGGCGTTGCTAATCTCAGCTGAAGTAAAACTGTGTCTGCTTTCCTGTGTTGGAAATGTGGTACAAGTTTTTTACTTCACCTGACTGGCATATTATGGATTTTATGGTAGTTTGATGCTTTTGTGTAGGACTTCTCTGAATTCTCGCGCTTTTATGATTTTGTGTTCTTCATTTGCCGTGAAAATGGTCAAAAGAACATCAGTAAGTTGATTTAAGATTATAATCATAATATTTCAATATCTTCCTTCTGTCATTGTACTAAATATTTGCATTATGACTGCTAACATGATCATCCTCTCCCTATTTCCTTTTCTATTTGAATGATTTCCAGCTGTAAGCAGGGCTCTTACGGCTTGGAGATTAGTCTTACCAGGAAGGTTTCGGCTACTCAATCAATGGTGCAACTTTGTTGAGGTACAACTAATACCAAGTTACTAGACCTCATACTGGGCAATGTTTGAGTATACATTTTATTGAATTATTATAAATATATGGTTTCTGGTCAATGTTTAAATAATAAAGCTGGATAAAGAAATAATAATTCTTTGTTCCATCTTGTTATTCTCAAAATTTAGGCCAAAGTTCCATTGCTTAGTAACATTTTAAGAATGAGATTGTCTTGTAGTTTAAAGGCCTGTTACTCAACTCAACAAAGTCTTTTCCCAACTACTTACGGCCTGGTGCTATAGTATGTTTTATTTAGCAAAAAAAAAGTGCTACAGTATGTTCTTATACTATCATCAAGTGATCCATGCCTCAACAGATTAAAAGGTTTTTGAGCCTTCTTTTGAACTAAATTATTTCTATATATGTATATATATATATATATATCAACTTGACTGGAGCACTGTTTTATATCATAAAATTGAATAATGACGTTTACACGGTTACATTTCGAAATCAATAGTCATATATATGCAATCACTGGTTTTGGGAGATCAACACAGTGGATTGTTTATTCTTTTTACGAACCAATATTCCACCATAGACATAAATGTTGATTTTTCTGTTTCTTCAAAATACTTTAAGTAGTTCCTCCAAATGGTAAGTCATTTGTCTTTTCATGTGGCAATTTTTACTGGGACAGCAGTTGTAGTTTTTTGGAGAAGAAGATGGATGTTCTGTGCAAAATGGTGTTTTTAAAAATTTCCTCCTTATTTAAACCCAAAGGGGTTGGCTCAAGTGGGTAAGTCACTTGGCCCTGGTGCCTCATGAAGCATCAAGTCTAAGGTTCAACTCCTCCTCTTGGGTGCAAACAATTCTTTGGAAGGGTGTGTGTGTGTGAGTACCAACTAGGAAAAAAAAAAATTCCTTGTTTTATATCAGTTCATTGCGTTGTTATTTTATTCATTTTGAAGCGGCTAGTCTGTTGAATTCCTGTCAGAACAATCAGCGACATAACATATCTGAGGATACTTGGCGGCAAGTTTTAGCCTTCAGCCGGTGTGTACATGAAAATCTTGAAGGGTATGATCCTGAAGGTATTAATATATACTATTTTGTACTTGTACATAAACGACAGTCATATATGTCTTCTTGAAGATTTGATGTGAGATGTGGGTATTCTTTTGATCAACTCTTATGATTCTTTATTACCTCCAACTTGTTACAAACATAGTAGTATAATCAAAAGCAGAAATATTAGTTTTTACATCCCTCTTTGATTTTATCAGAAGTTTAATGATTTATTCTGGCCAACTAGTTATTCAGTCTACTTTTTTTATACTTTTTATATTTTAAATTTGGTTGTCTGGCAATATGAAGAGCTCCTTCCTGTACCTTTTACCTTTTTTGGATAAGTCTGTTTTATATGCCAAAGTTCCTAATGTTAACACTCCATCTTAGACTAAGAACTTTTAACAGGTTAGCGCATGTAATGTCTTTATATGTTGAAAAACAAAATGAAAAATAATTCTACTTAGACCTGAGTCTTTGTTGTAATTAGGTTTGTAAGTTTTTTGTAGATTCTAAATTCATGGGTATTGGAAGGAAGGTAATGCATGTTTTGTGATATCATACGATACAGGAAGGGTGTGACTAGCGGATCCTTCCCCTTGTCTTCTTTTCGCTCTACTTCTTCTTTGTGACCAAATGGATGGATCTTTTAAGCTTATTTCTTCTCTTTATTTCTATTCTGTACTTTCCTTTATTTTCACATGTTGTCTTTTCTTAAGGGACTGAACGGTATATGTAGTAATGTGCACACTTTTTTTCCCCTGTTAGTTTTCTCATCTTCGTCTCAAAAGTTTTTGATAATGAAGGCTATTGGTGCATTTGTATTTAAGAAGATGGAACTTATTGATAAATTAGTAAAGGAAGTAGTTATGCTCATTTGCTTTAATTTATTAGTTACTTTTTGCAGGGGCATGGCCTGTTCTAATTGATGACTTTGTTGAGTACATGTATAGGTTTGATCTCTATCCCTAGAGCATTTTCTTTTTGAAATCTGCATGATGTTCTTTTACTGTTATTATTATTAATTACGCCTTGTGGATTTAGTTCTAAAATTCCCAGGAAATCTTTTAGATTGGGTGCGCTGACAATAGTAAATATTGGATGGTAATACAATACCATCTGTAAAAGATACATGGATTTTTGTTGGAGGAGAAGTCTCAGATGTTCTTGAAGCACCTCCAGTCTGTTTTTTATTGCATTAAAAGGATAAAAAGTGTGAACTTGGGATATCACCTTAGATCAATCTTAATGGTGACAAAATTTTCATGCAGTTGATCTATTGCAGTTGAGATTTTAGGTTTTGGTAGAGTGTATGCTGGAATTATGGTTACTAGGGAAACTTTGCTTACACCACCTCCCGTGCTTTGTTTGTATGACATTGACATTCAGAGACATCATGCGTTATCTTGTATGATGCAGGATCACAGGGTCCAAAAACAATCCCAACTTATGCTGTAATTGTGGTGATTCAGAAGCCCAGCCATTTGAGGATCCTTTCCCTGGTATGTTAGAATGTACTTCTGGTCCAAAGTCAACAAATATCAAGAATTTAGAAGAGAATGATTCAAAGCACATTTGACTAAGTACTTATTCCCTCTCCCCCTCTCTGCAGGATTGAAAACTGTTCCGGGTTTGAAGAGAAAGTTACACGAGGACTTGGCAAGAAATGAGTTGCAGACCATGGATACATCTGCAGGATCTTGTTTCCCATTGAATAGCAAGAGAAGGCAAATTTTTGTTACTGACAAACAAGTGCATCGGGAAAATGATCCACCCGGAAATGATACAGATGACTGCATGGAAATTGGTAAACAAAATATCCCATTGGGTTGCTCCAAGTCTCAGTGTGCTGTTGAAGGTTGTCTCTCCAAGGGTTTTGCCGGGCTCTTCTCTAGTCGATCGTGTTTGCAGTTTGATCAGGAAATAAGAGTTTCCTTTACATAGATCTCTCACCAGAATATATTGAAGAGTTTGGTAAATTATGCGTTTTGCTTGAGTTTGTAATTTTACTATAGGTATCCCAATTTTCTTTTGTTATTGGGGGTTGTTTTCTGATTAATTTGTGGTTGCATGTTAAAATTAGTTAATTGTGATTGAGAAAATCAATAAAACAATGGTCATTTATTTTTGTGCATATACCTTGTTGGCTCTTCTTTGCAGTCATGTTATTTACAACATTATACTTTTCCTAATATTACGGGTTAATAGTTCCTCAATTTCTTGTTACTTAAACAAGTTACATTTAATCGTGGACAAACATTGATGTTATGTTTGGTTGCATAGGAATCAAAAGAAGTATTTCTAATTGAAATGGAGTCTGTCAAACCTCTTCTGTTGGAGCTGTGGTCCTATATTAGGTGTCCACGGGACTCAATTAATCTAACAAATGATATTTGACATTTATTTAGTTACGACTCTTGAAAGCATTCCTCAAGTAAATTGGATGCTATTCCAATAAGGAAAATGATTCTCAAATCGAATTTCCTAACCTCTTTGATAGGTTTAAGGGTTTCTTATCCATTTGAACTTATCCGCCATGGACGGAAATTTCCGAAAGGCCTGATAAATAGTTATGAGAATTCGGTCTAAATATCGTTACTCTTCCTGTAAACTATTGATTGTAGCACACCATTCTCCATGGTAGGTACATGTAGACACGCGCCAAATTGGAATAAAATAGTGCAGGTGGCTCTATACGAAGTATTGAAATTCTTTACAAAACCATACTTCATGTCTACATCGTATGTCTGGTACATTCTTTTGCCATCCCCTTTGAAGCATGTAGTTTATTAATCCTACGCATAAAAAAAAAAAAAAAAAAAAAAAAAAAAAAAAAAAAAAAGAAAAGGAAACCTCTAGAATTGGATTTTATTTTTGTACAAGTACTAGGAAGATGGGAACAAGGGACCTGTGGATGCCCTCATGAACTTTCCTTCTTTGAACTCTATGCTATTAAGCTTCTCTTGGCACCATTTGAGTTGAGCAGTGGAAATCATTGACATTTTTAGCACCCTTGACACCAGCTTCATATCTATCATTGTAATCAAAATTTCCTTCTTCTGAGTCTCTCCACAAGGATCTGTTACCCTCTTCAACCAACATTTCTTCTTCCTCTGCATATCTTTTAACCATAGCTCCTTCTTCAGAAGAGTAATTTCACTTCAGTGACTTTCTCAATAAATTTCTTATTAAAAGAAAAGGAATTTCTCAAGAAAGTAAATCACGAGTTGAGATCCTATGAATCTATAATGTAACAGTATTGTGCTGTACAGCAGGGGACGATTGAGATCGCCAGCAAGTTACATGTGTGAGCGATCACAGTCGTCCTTGCTGGCAGGTTACACGTGTGAGCGATCACAGTCATCCCTTACTGGCATATTACACGTGTGAGTGATCACAATCGTTCCTTGTTATACAATACGATACCGTTATAGCAGATGATTCCACTTGTGAGTGATCACAGTCGTCCCTTACTATTACTGTGACAGTCGTCCCCTGCTCTACAAAATGGTGTTGTTATAGCAAAGAATTTTATGTGTAATCGATCACAGTTGTTCCATACTGTATAACACAATATTGTTATAAGAGAGGATTTGTGTTCATATATCACAACATAATAATTGGAAATTACCTTTTGTAATGTTTTAGAAAGGTCAACTAGGAGCCCCAAGTCCCTAGGGTCTTCCACTGGCGAATGAGTCCACAAAGAACTCCTCCTGACCTTCCACCAAGGTCTCTCGTTGTCTGTTTTTACAAATAACCGAAAAACCTCTATACACTTCTCTATGGCCTTCAATACTTCTGTTGCTCTCATTGGTTCTCCATTCATTTCATCTTTTTCTTCCTCCATATATCCTAGAAATGGTCAAAAACCACTGATGTAAGACACATGAAAAACTAAGAATGTGATCGCTATTTTAATATTACAATGTTTGAACGCGCAATTTTAGCATTACAATATTATATGGACATGTATCTACTTATACGCAATTCATTATTATAAGGTCTAATTTATTTTATATCACAAACATTATTTATTTAACAGGAAAGATCCTTTACAATTTATGTTAAAAGATATTTTAAAAAATAAAAAATAAAACATAAAGAGTTAATTATTTAGATATAAGGACTAGTTTAGTATACGAGACTCTGGTCATTGTGAGGTCTAGAGGGGGTCAGATGTACACAATGTTATCTCTACATAGAGAATCTATCTCCGATTTTGAACCCGTGACTTCTAGATCACAATAGAACAACTTTATTGTTACGCCAGACGTTCAAAAGCTAGATATAATTTATTAGAGTGAGGAAATCAGTATAGAAATACCTGAAATCTCAGGAACTTGGAGTAGACTATTTTGAGATAACCTTCTTTGGACATAATTCCAATACCTTTTGGTTGGGTAACATCTTTCATCTTCCATAAATCTCTCTAAAAGTACTTGAAACTTTTGGAACTCCCCTGCAACATTATTATAAAACACACCAATTTGAGTACTATTAGAGCATGCAATTAAAGCCTCAACCTTTTGGTATTGATGATGGAGAGCCTCCCAGGACAAGCATGACTGAGCCACATAAACCATTTCAAAATCACTTTCCAAGCTTCTCAAGAGCTTTTTTCTAGCCAATTTGGTCCATGATATATATGGGATAGAGAAATCCACTGTCTCTATACTCTGTAATGAACTAGGAGTCCCCAAATATTGCTTGTTCAAGATTGCACCTGCACCATAAACAATCATATTCAACATGAATTTAATAACATAATAACATAAAGAACTATTCAAAGTTTTTTATTAAACTGCATAATGTGTGTATTCAACACACGCACATACAGTTGAGCACATAAGCATACAAATGCCATGCATAGTGTAATGTGATGAAAGAAGGCTCACTTATTCCACATGTTCTATCGTAGTTGAGTACGTCGAACCATCTCATCCTTTCTGTGTATTTGTTGTAGAATGAATCTAGTTCTTCTTGTTCATGATCATCACTTATCGCTCTTTCCATGGGCGGTGAAGTACTGCTACAAACTGATGGCAAATACACACTCGTGTGCACATCTTCAATGGGAGAATTAGAGCTACAAACGGATGATACATATCCGATCATATTCACATCTTCTTCGGATGAATTTGAACTATGGTTTGAAGAGAAATACTCCATGCTAATATCTTCACTACTATGAAGATCATCGTGTTCTTCCATATGTAGAACTTCATCTTCCTTATTAGGAGTGTCCTCTATAGACTGAGTAACCTGAAATTCAGATATTTTTAGCTCATGTAGTACTATAGATGCTCTATTCGAACAACTATATGAGTGAACAACTTGAATTTCATTACTAAACTGCTGTTCTTCAAATTGATTGACCTCTTCTACAACTTCAGCATTGGTCACTCTAGTAAATGAGAATAAAAAGACAACAAAACCTCTTAAAAATCTCAAAATATATAAAACTAGGAAAGAAATGATTCGAATAGGGAGAGAGACTATGAGTATAAGCCATCTCTGAAGCAGTTTGATCCATAAGAAGATTTGACAGAAAAAGAGAAAAATGGGATGGATATAGAAGCTTAAATAAAACCACTTCCTAGACCCATGTGGGATGATGATAGATTCAATGATAAACCAGCAAGAAATAAGCAAAGCCATTCCCAAACTCACACCTCCAAAACTCTAGTCCCTTATCGTTCAAAGTCTAGTCTACTATGGGATTATATTCCTTACAACTATATATATATGTATATATATAGAAACATCCACTAAAGATATGCATGAATCTAGAAATTTATTATGTAATCATTAAAAACAAAATATAGTTAGTGGGTCATTAAGTTTATATAGCAAGGCCTTTTCACTTTCTTTTCAAGACAGACAAAACTTGTCTTACAATATACTTGTGTGCAAGTCTTGACTAACCTTATGGTCTATGGATCAACAATTTAATACTTCATTTGCTTACTTGGATCCTATTTTGCCACAAGGAGACATGGATATACAACAATATTTGTTCAAAACCCCAAATTACCCTTAAATTTTCTAATCAAAATGGTTGAAGTTGTCAAATCATTTGGACAGATATAAAACATCCAAGTTAGGAATATTTGCTGCTGAAGGAGTGTTAGGACAGCATGTATAATAAGTACTACTTGGCAGATTAATTGGGTGTTGCGTGAGGGATTGGAATGAAAAAGATTTTGCTTTATGGTTTCAATATGATCATCAGAAAATGAAAGTTCAACTGTTAAAGGGAGGGTGTGAGAAATAATAGCAGAGGACAAACCACTTGATGGGGCCAAATTGATATGGAAGTGGGTGGGTAAATACGTCACAGACTACGAATGGTATTACCTCAGATACTCAAGAGGATAATCATGAATGAAGTCAATGGCTTCTACACCTCACTTGTCTATAACAAACCTACCTAATCCGACTTTAAGGTTTCTTATGCATACATGCATGCTTAATACTCATTTTAAAATCGAAGAGTTTCAACGGAGTTCAAGACTATATCCGTTTGTATACGCTCATATTGAAAAATATAATCGAAGAGTTTGAATGGAATCGAAAACTCTGTATCCATTATATATATTCACTTGACAATGATATGAAATATAGTTGAGTGCATTTATTAAATAGAGAATTTTCGGCTCTTTCATTTCATTCAAACTCTTCGGTGTACATATCATTACTTTAATAGAAATCAAGATGCTTGTTGAAAATTTCCAAATTTGATATGACTTTGTTGGGGGTACGGAGACACATGGACATTAAGATCCAATATTCAATGAAAGATAATAAAACAATGACACACAGTCAAAATTGGCTTATATTCACGAATGAGAAGAGATTTCACTATGATTCTATATAAAAATTATAACAATTTTATATATAATTGTGTGTTTCTAGGGCATCGAAGGAGATGGATAAGGGGATGAAGAGTTTTCCTTTGATGGTTGGTATTGTTTGTGGTAGTTTGTTTTTCATATTCCCTAATACTAGATATGGTATTGGTTGCATGGCTACATGACCTAGTAGGGTTGGTATGGCACTTTCTAATGCTTTTGAATTAGTGTTTGGTTGTAGTTGTATATAAGTACGAAATGAAAAAAATTGTAGTAGCATGAGAGTTTGATCCTTGAGACATGAATTTATTAAAAATTAATTGTATGGGAACTAATTTTCATTTTGTTTTGGTTTTTGTTTTTTCTTTTGAATGTTTGAGTATTTTTTTTAAGAATTAATTGTCTTTTTGAATGTTGTATGTCTCCCCTCACCCAAAATTGCAAACTCTGGCCACGTTGCCCATCCGTTCCTCAATGACAAGAGGACCTATAACGACCCGAACGCCTACGATTCCACCCAGGTACATATTTGACATTACATCAAATCAAAGATTAGGTCTTTCTTATAACACTGATAATGAGTTGGGACGCTTGTCTTCTGACCAACTACAACTTAATTTTCTTCTTATTATTCTACTTTTTTTTAAATATATATACAAACATGCATATATTATTATATTTGTGTAATTACCGGGAAAAAAAGTCTTTAATTTGTCGTTTTCTCAAATTTATTTCAAAATTAGGATAATAACATGCAAAAATTTTGATGCCTATTTATAGTTGGACAAAGGTCGACCCATTCTCCAGCTGGTTATGCCAGATCCTGTAAGCACAATGTTGTTGAGATTCCTACCGCAGTGTAAAATACCTTTTGCAGGATTTCAACTGGTTAAATCTTTCAATTGGTTATATATATATGTCTGTGTATATATATATATATATATATATATATTTTCTACCCCCTCTTCCCTCTAACTTACCAAACACAACATTAGGCATATTACATCAGGGACTAGAAAGTCATTTACTGAAAATCAAGGATAACAAGATAATTCAGACGGTTTGCACTCTGCTAATAACCGTCACTAACGGTCATATGTTCAAAATCAAAGGCACCCATATATATATATACACAGATATTTCGCATTTCTCTTATATCCAACCCACAATACTAACCAAATAATCACACTGCTAATTCCCTTTGCATTCATCACATTCCGGCCAAGAAATGGAGCAAACTGAAGATATTGGAATCAAAGTCTACAACACCCCACTACACGATATTGATGAGGATGGTCCAGACACCACCATTCCCTCCCCTGATCATCTTCAGTCTGCCCCGGGAGAAGGCCGCGGCCGGAAAAAGCGCGCCATGGCAAAGGGAGTGCAGAAAACCCTCTCGAAAACCTCGATGCTCGCCAACTTCCTCCCCACCGGAACCCTTCTCACATTCGAGATGGTCATCCCTTCAGTCTACCACAATGGCAGTTGCACTCATGTCAGCACCATGATGATCACTTTCCTATTGGTCCTCTGCTGTCTCTCCTGCTTTTTCTTTCACTTCACCGACAGTTTTCGCGGTCCGGACGGGAAGGTCTACTATGGGTTTGTGACCCCTAATGGTTTGGCAGTGTTCAAGCCTGGCCTTGGAGTGCATGTGCCCAAAGAGGAGAGGTTTATGCTTAGTTTTAGGGACTTTGTGCATGCCATCATGTCTGTGATGGTGTTTACGGCGATCGCGTTTTCGGATCATCGGGTCACTAACTGTGTTTTTCCAGGGCATGAGAAGGAGATGGATGAGGTGATGGAGAGTTTTCCATTGATGGTTGGTATTGTTTGTAGCAGTTTGTTTCTTGTGTTCCCTAATACTCGATATGGTATTGGGTGCATGGCTACATGATTCATTAGGGTTGGTATTGCACTTACTAATGCTCTTGCATTAGGGTTTGATATTAATTTGTATTATTATAATTATTATGAGAGTTTGATCCTTGAGACATGGATTTATTTAGAATAAATTGTCTCAATTTATTGGAACTCATTTTCAATTTCTTTTCTTTTTTTTTTCCTTCTTGAATGTCAAGTATTTTAGGACATCATAGCTAGAGCAGATATTAGGGTTCTATTTTCATCATTAAAAAAAATATATGTTGATCGTGAGATTGTATTGATAGAAATTATATGTTATGCCTAATTATAATTGCAAGAAATAACTTTCACATAGGACATAACAGAATGACGAGGGTTCGAATCTCCAAAACAACAAAGTGAATGTGTGAATGTAACGTCCGGATGTAGTGTGTGCGAGTTTGTTGCCAAAAATAAAAAATAAAAAAAATAAAAACCCAAACATGAGTCCAGCCTTCACAATTGAGTGGATGGGGAGCCAGCCGTTCCTTGAAACTCTCACTATATTAATTATTTTCTTGAAAAAAATAGAAAAATAACATATAAAAAGAATAAGAATAAGAAGCAAAAGTCAGAGAGTAGTCTCTATGTATGCTGAAGTCCGTGAGGCATTGCAAAGAGTAAGAAATATACAAGCCCATCGAATGCTATGACAAAACAAGCACAGCTTAGTGGAACAAACACAAACACAGGGTATTGAAAGAATAGCTAAAAATTCTAACAAATCATGTAAAATAATGAGTTCCTATAAATTAATCACTATACAAAATTCCTGCCTGTCAACTGCATATGGTACAAATCACAACCAATCAAGCCCTTCTCCCCACCCCTACCACCTACAAAACTACAAAAAAATTAATTTGTACAAATCCCTCAAAATTGTATAAACACGAGACACCTCGACCACCTACAAGTTCCTAACTACAAAATGTGCAAACCACAAGTGAGATCCTAGGGTACCTTTAAGTTTCTCCGCGCTCTATTTCATCCCGTATCTGCTTAGAAAAATCAGTAAAACAGAGAGGTCACAATAGCGTCTCCTTACCCGTTGCCACAGCACTTGACCTCCCCCACTTGCAACTTCTGCCAGAGGCAAAGCATCTCTCCAGCACTTTGGTAGTGAGCCACAACATACCCATTCTTGCACCCTAAAGCATGGACCCTCTCTTCATTTATATAACTAACCTTCAAACCTCCTTTCTTCATCTCTGCTATCCAAATACCCATTGCCACATCCTCCAGCTTGAACATCTGCACATTTTAAGCATCACTACAGGATTATTGATGAGTGACGGTACGCAAGTCACCAATTTTTTCCAAAATTCAATTAATTTTTGTTTGTTTGTCAGTGCCCTAAAATTTACAGAGAGAAAACTAAATGACAAAAAAAAAAAAAAAACAGATATAACAAGTAGGCCAAATTATTTTCTCTTCTTTCTTCCTTTTTCCATGTTATTTAGTATAAAGGGAACCTATTTTTTATAATATATGGTCTTTGGCTGCCATGAAGCAGAATGTACCAGAATAAGTGTAGCAAAATGATAAGTTGATAACAATGAAATGGATTAGTTGGAGAAAGAGAAAATAAAAGAAAGTGGATGGTGAGGGTTCAAGTCCCCAAAGGGGCAAAATGGGCATGTGAATGGTGTGGGTGTGTTTCTTGCCAATGAAAAAAAAAATATTGGTTTGGGGCTCACACACGACAAATCGAAGACAAGGCACTGCACCACTAGCTTTATTTATATGCACTCCAACGGCAAGGGGATGGCGAAAAAGAATTACAATAAAAAGATGGTTCTTGGTTGAGTAAAAACATAATGGACTAACCACACAAGGTAAAAGATGGCGAAAGGCAAACCAGAGAACGCCATTCATTGGCAATGGTGCAACTTCAATGTACCTTTAAAACAAGAGCTGTAGCCTAGAGATCCAAATGTGCTTGCCAAGTGTATTTTGTGGGATGTTTGGATGCCTTGGGGGTATGCCTCCAAGATGTCATTGGTTAGGTAGGTGCTTCTGGGATTTTTGGTGAAGCAAGGGTATGCCCTTGTTTCATTTTTCTGGTCCCTACTATTAGGGTTCTGTTTTTAGTGAGGGTATGCCTTCACTTCTCCACTTGTACCATATTGTTTTATTAATAGATTTTTTTCTTCATTTAGGAAAAAATGAACTGTAGCCTAGTGATTCTACCTCTCGAAGTGGAGGTTGAAGGTTCGTGTCCTTAGAGGGGCAAAGTGGATGTGTGAACTATATATCAAGGGGGAAAAAAAAAGTACCTTTAAACGACCTCTTTTGTGTCTCTTGTAGACTGCCTTGGCAATATCATGTGATATTACATAACCAGGGCCATGTGCCCAAGGGGGGTAAGTGTCTTCTGGCCACTCCTGAAAATAAAAATGAAAAATGCAAATCAGAGGGGAATTTAAAGAAGAATCAAACAATGAAGCAATATTTCATAAAACATACACACAAAGCACCTCTAATGCCCTTCCTGTTCATCCTTAACCACATAGTAACTAACCTTCGTTTAAAAAATCCATTCTTTCTGTTTCACCTAAAAATTATCATTTTCCCCTCAGTTGATTATAAGAGTCCTACACTGCCTGATAACATAAATGAACTCTTTCTTGCAAGTTGCAAGCTAATCAAAAAGGGTGTAGGTAGTTAACATTAACCATTATATACTAGTTTAACCACCAAGCACCAGTCCATGATGCCAAAATTTAACGACAACGACAGAAAAGAGTGAAAATAAGAAGCCTTAAAAAGTATTATCTTTCTTCAGATAAAAGTATGTGTTTGAATCAAATTAAGATCACAATAAATTTTTGCCCTGTTGATTGAAACATGGCATAGGAAAAAGTTGGGCTACTAAATGAGGCCATAAAGAAGGCCAGCTCATTATTCAACTGATCTGAGTAATAAACCCAACTTCTCTCTGGCATTCATTTGTTGAGCTTTTTTATCACACATTTCAAACACAATAAGATAGTATCAATCTATGCTGTGGGAAATTTATACCTCTGGGCTAATATACCATTTACTGTCAGAATTTCGGTGAGGTCGCGAGTCTGAGTTGATGAGACCGTACAGCAATCCATGGGCCACATTGGTCCTCTTTAACGAGGCAATCACTTCATCCACACGGACAAATGAATCATCGTCTGTCTTCATGACATATTTTGCTGAAACAGCCTGCGTCTGGTAAAAAGAAAAAAAAATGGAATAAGCAAAAAAGGTTAAACTTTTTGGTTTAAGAACATGGTGGAAAATTACCCCAAAGGTGCAGATTGCCACAGTCTTCCAGGTTATAAGGCTGTAATAGTCAACAAAAGGCATCAGTTGTATGTCCCCATAGGTCTGTACCTCCTCCCATAGCTTCTCATTCACCATCTGGTTTTTATGCTGCAGCATAATGAACATTCTGAGCATTTACTATTAAGAAAAGCTTCCTCTGAACATAAAGCTAATGAGTCATTGATTTTGGGAAGCAAGATTGTTAATCACACCTGACTTCACAAATATTACGGATCACATATTCAAAAGAAACTCAACTAACAAAAATAAAGCTTCTTTATGATGTACTCAACTCAACAAAGCATTTTCCCCAACTACTTGGGGTCGGCTACATGAATCTTATTTTTCTGCTCTATCCATTGCCATATCCTCAGTCAAACCACATGTTAACATTTCCTTCTTTACTAACTCTACCCACATTAACTTTATGATATATGGCAGTTTTACTACAAAAAGCTCCAAGGAATCCTTTCATCAAAAACATCATTAAATATAATCAGGGAACCAGATAAAATCCAAATGGAACTTACCAGACCAACAAAAAAGCGCACTGCAACAGCTCCGGACCTCACTGCAGAATACTGCATCCATGTTCTCCGAAGAGCCATTCTACGCTTGAAATTGTTTGCCGTAGAGAAAACACCAATAAAGAGATCCAAAGGCATGTGAGGTGAAAGTGGAACTGATGCCAGGGCTTCTACATCAACAATCTTATCTATATCTTCTGATGTAGGTAAACCACTCGCCAAAACAGAAATTAACTCCAAGTCTCCAGAAATTCGTACTTCACTCACAAGCCATGGTTCCAACCTCTGAAAAAATCATATTCCAATAAAGCAAATACATTGGTAAAATAAAATAAAATAAAAGAAGAAGAACGTTTCATTTTCAGGATATAAAAGCAACTCAGTTGAGAGAGAATGATTTACTTCACGGTAAGCAAAGGATGTTATGTGTTTTCCATCAACTGTCATCTGGATCCCTTCTTCTCCCACCCTAAGTGTCATAACAGATGGATACCCTTGCTTGAATGGAAAAAACTGTCTAGGGTTAGATCTGTTATTTGCCATTTGCGACCATATATTTGAAGATCCACCAGATGTAAACCTCTTGCTATCATTTCTACCCACCATTTGATTGCATTGGTTCAAATCATCCACTGTTTATGAAATAAAAGGAAGACTGTCAATGAAAAAATTAAGTATAAGTTTGATATAAAAATAAGGGAATCGCAAGGAGAGAGAGAGAGATAGGTTAAAAAATCACAAATTTATAGATGAATTCTCATAGTTTCATCTGAATCCTCAACAACATTTTTTCCTGTGTTTTTTATAGGTATCCAAATATGAGATACTTTTGCAATGTTTAAAAGCCGATCATTCCCTATCTAATTAGAACTTTGCTTTGTGTATTTTCTTAATCAGATAGTGAACAGCATATCCTTTTACACTCTACTTGTGCTCAGGTTTGATAATCCAAATAAGTGACACATGGGAGCTTTATATGCATCATTTTATACTTCATCGTTGACATAATCAAGGTTCTTTGTCTTTTACTGGTAATTGAAGAACCATATGCGTCCTCTTACACTCCTCATAATGGTGTGACCCCAAGATGTTGTCCCCAGATAGCATGTTTAAATAAAACAAGACAAACAGAAGGACAAATGGACTTTAAAAAGGATATATATAAGTCCAATTAGTACCAGCACATTTCATACTCTAAACTGTATATTCATTACCATCACGGTTATGAACCAACAATCATTATTGACACCAATGTCTGACATGCCCGTCATACAAACTTTATGACATATCTTCTGTTCTTAATCATATTATGGATAACAAATCAGAAAAAATATATCATATATCCTAAATGATTCCTATACTGAAAGTTAAATGAAAATCTAGAGTGGTACAAACTAGTTCACACAGATTCAAACCTCAAGATTTATAGAGAAAATGACAAAAGCATTCCGGAATCTGAAAAAATTGCAACACTAAACTAAACGTTGGCATAAACAAACATCTTGCTTTATGAGTCAAAATATGATAACTTAATGCATCTTCCACATTCATATGCAGAAATTAGTCAAATAAAAGACTTGCTTAAGTGATTAGAGCACAGGGCTGAGGTTTAAATATTATGGCATTCGATATAACTAAAAATAAGAGTTTTACAAAGCCTAGGTACTTATGGCCTAAATCCAAAACCTCTACAACACATCATATGAAAAGATTAACGAACCAGTCATTGAATTTGAACATAAATTCTGGAGCCTCAATTAAACAATTATATTATATGAATATAAGGAAAATCGAAAACTTCGAGCCAAACACAGATAAGGATACAAGTACTGATACCAAAATGGGCTTATGACGTATTTATATTCAGCTGATCACCAGAAATCCAATGTCAGGTGAAACTATCATAGACATCACAATATCATTGGCACAGTGGTATAGTATATGAAGTAACAATCATTTAAGACGAAAGTGGCAGATTAAGAGATAAAAATACATTAATTGACGTTTGATGTTGTGGGAGCAGTGGTCTTGGTTCAATCAGCGCAGTTAGCATGCAATTGTAGTGTTAAGGTAGAAATATTGTAGCCATGGGTGGTGGCAGCAATTAGATGTCTTTTTCTTACAATTAAAGACTACAATAAAGTATTTCACGGGAACACAACCAAAGTATAACTTAGTTTTTAGTTGGACCTGGAAATTGCTTAAGTTTGTTCACTAAATAATATTCCATAGCCGGAGTAGACTTAGGTAGTATGGAAATTGGACACATTCAATGCAGACCTGTAGATCATGCTCCAGTGAGAAGAGTTAGTTGGTTTGTATAATAGAAAGTAGAGACAAAGAGACCGACCAAATCTAACATGGAATGAAGTGACAAGAAATGATTTTAAAAAATTAAATCTAGTCGGAGAAATGGCTTAAAATAGAAAGAGGAGATTCCATGTGGCCAACCCGGTTTATACGATACAAAGGCAAAGATGATGATGATGATATACTGGGAAAAAACTTTAAGCATCCTAAACCTTTTTAAGAAGTACTGCAATAAATGAGTTTTAGTGAAAGCCAATATTTTTTATCACATGGTAAAAATTAGAAATCTAATAATATATAGTATATTCTATAAATGACTGAGTAGTATAGCACACAATACCCATATCAGCATCAGCTGCTTGAGATGAGAAACAAATGCAAGTAGTCATTTAACATAATATCCTTTGCCACAAATTTGGTACTTCCAATATGTAACTTCAGGTGAATGACAATCAATAGGCTTTAGCCCAGATGGTATGAGCTCTCCTCTTCAAAAAAGAGGTGTGTTCAAGCCCTGCTAGGGGCAATATTATCGGTGTGTGAGCCTTCGCTAGAACTTTCGGGAAAAAATAAAATAAAAAATCCGGTGAATGACAACGCTTACTGTTTTCCAAATATTGGGAAACAAGGCAAAAGCACAAACAATATCTTGAACATTTTAATCTAAAAGAAAAAAGAAAAAAGAGAAGTGACGTGCATGATAAGATGACATACATGGGTTCCATAGACGACTAAAACCATAATGAGCATGAACTTCTCAAATTACAAAAATATTTAATAAGGCAAACACAATTTTTCTTAGGCCAGGAGAATGAATTTTAAATTTCAGAAGAAAAGATAGAGCATGTGACAGGTACGGTACCTTTCTTATTATTGCCAGGAACTGCAGAGGGGCACCTTTCCTCTTCACCCCAATGATGAGTGTCGGTCCAAGTGTTTTGCACAATTACAGGTTCCTCAGTTATCTTATCACCACAAATCCGGACATTGTAATGCAAAATTATCGAATGATTTTTCTCTTTCGGGAGAGACTCCCCTGTTAAATCAATTTGAAAATTACCATTTGGAGTGCCTATAACAGTGATAGATGAACCCTGAACCAGACCACATGGGATCTGTAACCTGTAACTGTTGTCACCAAATTCTATAGCATTCATCTTAGTAAGGAAGTACGGACATTGTTTCTCCTTTGCTTTAAGAGGTGATTTTTCATCTGAATCACCATTTTGATCATTTTCAACAGAATTCATAAGATTGTCCCATGCAACCCCGGCTTCCCTGATAGCCTCAACAGCATTAGGAAAACCCTGACTACAATCAATCACGTGTTTCATATGGTGCCATGTCTGTAGAGCAGTTTGCACCTTGTCAGAGAAATTCCTTTGGATAAAGAGACCATAAACTAATATATCAGCAGAAATTGCTTGATCGGAAACCTCTGAACTTTGAACTGCAGGGGGAAGTCCAGCTTGAGGCCATTTTAAAGTATTTGATGTGTTGAAGGTGGGAGGACCAAGAAAAGACCTTTCCGCAATGGGATTTTTCATCACAGTATACCTTAGAACTAACAGAATGAATAAAGATCCAATTAAAGCACCTCCCCCCCATTTCTTCATTTTCTTTGGTAGTACTTTTACATCAATCGTCTTGACTTCCATATCATTCGACTTGAAAACTGAACTGTGTCACTTGTCGGGGCACTCAAATCCCCGCTTGCTACTAAAATTATACTTGAATACGGAAAAATTCACAATATTTTCTTATTGATTATAACCAAAAAACTAATATCTTACGCTGGATCAGAGAACCAAGTGACTTTATGGGATCGAGTAGGCTCTCAAGTAACCAATTTTGCATTTCATTAAGAAATCATCCACTGTTTGACCAATTTGCACACTATACTATAAATTCTCCGTTGGTTTCGCGTTAATGGCATTGTCAGAATAAGAGCGTCCAGCTTTTCCTATTGTTATACCCTGAGACCGTTAAACAAAAATTCCAGACTAACCAATCAAAAGAACAATCTAACATGAGAACAAAAGGAAGTGATATATATGATGAAAATTAAGTAGAGAGCAATAACGGCAGAGATATGAATAAGTGGCATTATATATGAACATATATAATCATTACTAGTGTTGATAGTAACCATTTGCACTGTCTTACTAATGAGACATTACATAATTTTTTTTTTTTTTTAATTCAAGTTAAGAATTCCACTGAGATAAATGGAGCCCAAAGAGGATTTATTTTTGCTGAAAAAATATTCAATGGAAATTTCTTGCAGCTTGTGTTGATGTAAATGGGATGATCCTTTTTTATATATAAACACAATTATAAATGACTACTTTTATTACTCTTTGGACAATTTGGGAAAGACTCAAAATTCCTATAATTGTCTCTCATATAAAGTTTTTTGATATAAGCAAAAACTAGTCTTAATAGTGAACTCGGACATCCTGCTACTAGATATGAGATCAATGACTTAAAAGACATGTAGAGAGAAAATGCTATAATTCTTTATTGGGACTGTTAAAATTGCAAAAATGTCTAAATTTGAGTCACTTTTCACTCTCATATAAGGCTTTTCATATAAACACATTCAATATATACTTCAAGAATAACCAAGTATAAAAATGGTACATTAATCAAAATCATCCAGTAGAACTCCACAACAAATCCAATATCATATAGAACAGAAATATATATATATATAGACACACAAATTAATTCAAGGAACCTGATTTCTGCTGTTAAAATCTCAATAAAAACATATTAGACCAATATATATATATAATTGTACAATGAGTACACAATTTGAGTTCTGTTTTTTTACCAAAACTATTCAGTATCCATCAATCTTCAAACCCTAACTTTTGTAAAAGTTTTTACCAAAGCTGAGCATAATCACATCCCGAAATCTATTAAAAGCAGCCTCTCAAACACACACTTACAAACATTATACACACACCAACAAACACACACATTTCTATATTAGTCTATACAGACATAATATGTGGAAACAATGGTGAAACATACTATCATATCTATCATCGAAATACATACATACCTGTGAATTTTCATTCTTTTTCCAGGAAAAACAAGCGACAGAGTACTCCAAGAAGAATCAGAAAGAAACAGTTCATATATTAAATAGCCTTAGCGAAAAATAATGTCATAATATATCTGATCTAAGGAAGGTTGAATGCGTCGAAGTCTACGCCCGAAGGCGGTTAGAACTTGGGAAGTTCCGTTCTCAATCGAAACTTCCGACTCTGCGCGGGTGTGGAAACAGCAAAACTACGCTTCTTATTTCTATTCCAATTCTTTAAGCTGTGTTTGGAAAATGAATTTGATGGAACTTGGATTTGAAAATAAAATTTACATTATTTAGAATCATCCGATTATAAATGGAAATTAAAAATAATATTATGTTAAATATTATTTTTAGCCACGTTTCAAATCCTATCTAAAAAGTAAAGATAAATATTATTTAATGATGATATTTCTATAATTAATCTTGTTAATATTCCTAAAAAAAGATAATTTTATAACCAAAAGTCATATAATCCAATTATTCACAAGTCACACCGTGCAAAAAAATTATATTTACACATTACATTACAGATTGAATGAATAAAAATGACACCTTTATAAGCCAAGTTTATAAGCCCTTTATATAAAAAATGAATAATGTATTAATAATTAAAAATTTAATCTATAAGCGAAAGTATAGTTATTAATTAATATTCTTGTTAATTTTTTAGTATATAAATTGTTGTGTATCAATTTCTATGTGGCATACTTTTAAATTACTAACTAGTAATTAATATGCTGAGTAATTTATATAATAATTAGTTATCAATATATATTTCTATATAAACTTTTGTTAATTTACATATTATTTTTGTTACAAAGTAATTAATATACTTTACCAAGCGTGCTTAATATTTAATAAATGAACTTACTTAAAATATTAATTAAATTAATGCCTAGACTTAAGTTTTTATTTTAGTATATATATATATATTTTAATATGTTGGTTTAAGTATGTTGGTGATGGTAGTTGAATAAGTTAATTTGTTTTTTTTTTAATTAATAAATAATTATTCTTTTTTTAATTGATTTGTTAAATAAATTTTATGTTTCAGTTCTATTACGTAGTCATTTATGTTTGTCTATTTGATATAATTTTGAAATCTATTTTATAATAAAATAAATATTTCATTTATCATTTAAACAAGGACAAAAATGGTATAATATTATCTTTATTCCAAATCCCATTTCAAATCCAACTTTAAATCCAATTTGTTTCAAACATATAAATAGAATTTTATTTTAATTCTAATTCATATTCCTTTTCCAAATCCCAAAATAATGGGTTCCAAACAAAGCCTTACGTTTCTTTATCGCCACCAAAATAGGACGTCGATATAGGTCAACGACGTCGTAGAGTAGGTTTTTCCTTTTTTTCTTTTTTTTTTTAAAGATGAATTGGGAAGGGAAATCAAATAATTACAGTATCTTTTAATTTCAAATAAATTGACTATGACTGGGTCGTGGGCGGTGGGTCGTGTTTGGGAGCTTGAAAAAAAAAAAAAAAAAAATGTGTTGAATCAGACTCAAATTAGGCCGGGCCGTTTGGCTTCTTGGGCTTTTATCTCGAGCTCAATTTTAGGCCCGACAAACCATATGTCAACACTCGTTGATAACAGGTGTACCGAACGACGCATGTACACCGAGTAATAACCTTAACACGTGGCGAGCACCCCTTTATCTTGTCTAAATTCATACTCTGTAGATTGGTTCTTCAAACTCATCAACCATGGTGCATGTATCTCAGAGTACATCACCAAACTGAAAACCGAAGCTATCAAGTTGTCAATTCCTACCCTTAAATTAGACAAAATGGATCTGTGGATTGCCTCAGTATCTCTTGTTATGCCCTAAACTCAAATTCTCCAAAAAAAAATAATAATAATAAATAAATAAAAATAATCCAGTAAGAATTCTGAAGTATTAGGTATTCTTTCTTTCCTACAAGTATTAAATTATTCATCTGCTAACAATGCTCTTTGTATATGGATATATGTTGAATTATTTAGTTTGCATTGCTCTGTTTATTTCTGTCTTTTCTTTAATGAACTGGTATTGCACATTTTTTTTTTTTATAATTAATTTGGGGTGTGGGTTTGGTGCAGGTAATAATGGAAGGTTCAAGAGTAAGGCACATAGTTTTATCCCACGGTGTCAATGGCTTTCTTTTGGAGACCATCTTTGAGAGAAAAGATAGCGCGCGCGCATATATATATATATATATATATATATATATATATACTCATTAATGGAGGAAGAAGATGAAATGATAAGATGAAAAGGTAATCAAGATATATTAGGTCTGTAAAAATTCTGTGAGAGTTGATTGGTTAATGGAACGAGAAAGGAAAAATACCAATAATACTTAGGTCCCTATTAGTGAGACAAGTGATTTTTAATTATTAAATCAAAGATGGTATGGTAGATATTTACTTAACGAATCAGATATGATGATTTGATTATCATCTATGATTTGGTAATTAAAATAGGAAATGTACATTTATTATTGGTTCACATCAGTCGTGATTATGTTATAAATTCTCATAGTTAAAATATTCTTTTGTCTAAAATATACACTGTCACGTGTAATTTTTAACTCTAGGAGTTTGTTAAGATACACTGTCACGTCACCAATGTGTAAAATTGTTATATATTTCGCACAACCTTTTTACACCGTCATCTCTCTCATTCCATTAACTAATTAACCCTATATTAAGTAGGTTTATAAAAACTATGTGGGTCTAGCATGACACTGATATGGGTTCTGGGATATATTTTTATACAAAAGGTATAAAACAACCGTCAGAGCTAAAAATAAATAATTCAAATTTTTTTGTGTAAATCTATTATAACATATCAGATTTACACCAAAAAAATATATATATATATACAATAATTGGAGTGAAATCCAAATATTGTCCTTTTATACATTGGTGGTATATCTTAACAGATTTTATGGTGATAAAATTTTTTTTACACATCATACATGACCGTGTATATTTTATACAAAAGAATATTTTAACATACTGATAGAGATACTCTTAGCAAGTATGAAAGCAATCCTCTGTGGATTAACATTGAAAAAAGTCTGGTCATTTATTATAACCGATAATAATAATAATAACAATAGCAAAATGAAGAAAGGTATGGAGCAATTTCATGAATGGAATAATACTTTTTTTAATTTTTTTTTATAAGAAATTATAAATGACTACTTTCACTAGTGGTTGGACAATTTGGTAAAGAGTGTTAAAATTGCCCTAATTGTTTTTCGATTCACTTTTCTCTCTCGTATAAGGTTTTTGATATAAACACATTCCATACTTAAAAGAAATAAAAAAAAAAAGTTGAATCAGACTCAAATTAGGCTAGGCCGTTAACTTCTTGGGCTTTTAAGTCAAGCCTGATTTTAGGCTGGTCTAACCGAATCCCAACACTCAAAATTTTTATCTGTTCAAATTTTGTAGGCAAAAAGCATAAAACTCCCCTCAAGTATTAAGAATTAGCATTTTACCCCTTTGAACTACAAAATCGAGTAAGTCAATCCCTCAACTATCAGAAATGATCAATTTGACCCCTTGGCAGTCTTTTCCGGCAACAAATGGAGCACTTGAGTTTACTTTCTAATATAATTCCATAACTACCCTTGCACTATGACCGTTGTAGCCCTGTTTGTAAATTGAATCCAAAATTTCTTCTTCCTTCTCCAACTGCAACTGCTCTCTCCAAGTGCAGAAAAAAAATCTTCATCAAAGTTGGAGAAGTTAAGTTCAGATGGTGTATAATATATATATATGTGTGTGTGTGTGTGTGTGTGTGTATTATCATATATATATATATATATATATATATTATCAAGAAGAACAGCAAGTTGGACACCGGATCAACCGGTTCTCATTGCACTCCAGGCATCTCTTCAACTGTTCTTCGTCTTCGTCGTAAACCTTTCTGCTTCCACTACAATTCAAGCACGAAATGAACCTGGCATCCCCACAGCCTTCGTAGACAAACCCAAGTTCTTGAATCGGAAGCCCACTAAGAATTTTGGCCTATTCACGAACTCATGAAGCTGTTTGATCACATCAGCACCTCCAATGTACTTCCCTCAGACGAACACTTGTGGCAAAGTCATATTCTTTTTGCCCAAAACACTCTGCAACTCTTTCCTATAAGCTGAATCCATGGAAATGTCACGGTCGTCGATGAAAACCCTAAATCCCCTCAATATCATCCTCACAGCACAGCAATCCTCATACGTCCTTCGAATTCCCCTCAAACTGGTGAAATAGACGACACTTCAATCTTCAGTACCCGGCAATCGAATTAGAGGGTTGGTCGTGAACGAAGAAACCCTAGAATCAGATTCGATCAATTTGGTGGGATTCAATTTGGTAGGCGATTGTAATTGCGATTGCGATTCATCCAGAACTGATGTTGGGGATTTGGTGGATTCGAATATGCTGCAGAGTTTTTTCACTAATTGCTTGAGGGTATTGATGGTATTTCACAATTTTTATTTTATTTGTTTTTTTTAAATGTTAATTATAATGGGCATTTTTGTAAATGTACAATACCAGTACCGAAAATGAGCCGGAAAGGACAGCCAGGGGTGAAACTGATCATTTCTGATAGTTGAGGGATTGACTTGCTTGATTTTGTAGTTCAAGGGGGTAAAATGCTAATTCTTAATACTTGAGGGGGTTTTTATGCTTTTTTGCCAATTTTGTATTCGAGTGGTCAGATGTTTAGGCCCAAATGGTGGGTTCAAACTTCATAATAAACTGTATAAACTTCACAATAGGTGGACTGTTCTCCAGACCCAAATATTTGATTGATTCATTCTTCTGTTGGACTTGGAAGGCCCATAAGACATTGGAACCATCCTCAAGATCCCCTCTTCTTCTTCGGTTTTGCCTAGTAATTTTTTTTTTTTTTTTTTTTTTTTTTTTTTCATTGGTAAGAATTCACACATTCACTTTGTTCCTTTGCAAATTCGAATTTTTACCACTCACTTTAAGAATTAAATGAAATACCACTGAATCACAAGGCCCTAGATGAATTTTGCCTCGCTTGAAGATCCTTATTGAGATTATTCATTACATGTTTATTATTTAATTTTAAAACTATTAGTCCTTTACATTATTTTAATTTGTATGACACCAAATTCAGAGACGTAAACATGCCTA